GTCCATCATCACAGTTGTCATGTGTTTGTATATGTGAGAGAGGAATAGAGTGGGGCATGAAGGGACTGAACGAGCACATGCGCTACGCACGGCACTACATTAAAACGATTTAATCTAAGTATTTTAAATCAATATGTGGTAGTCAATGTTGATATTGTGGCGGGCTTCCACAAAAACTGTAAGTGATCGTATGGGAAACACTGGTGAAGAATATATTGGTCTGGGTTTGGATGCTTTGTATTGTACTCGAGCACTTTATTGACATTGAAATGAAGCAATCAGTCTTAATATTGTCAATTATGATGACTTTATTTGTTCTATGTCTTCCAGGAAAGAGCGTCTTATTTATGTTGGAATCAGTGTCGAAAATATCATCACGCCTTCTGTAAGTACAAACCTTGGTTGTACAGTCTTTAGTGGAGTCAACAAAACATTCAGCAGCTGATGTTTGTATCATAAAGCACCAACTCTTGTGCCATACAGGTAGAGGTAGAGGAAGAAAAGCCAGCGATCATAATCAAAGAGAAGAAAGAATCAAAGCGGAGTAAGAGCTGGGGTCGAAGGTCAACAAGGGCGAAGAAAACCATCAGCTACAGGTTTGTTCATTGATACATACTTAATATTTTATTAGCAGTTTTTTAAGGGCTTTTAATATGCAGATTTGTGTTTTAATTTAATATGTAGTGGGGTTCTTGTAAGATAAAATTTTCTTGATCCACGTGGAAATCACTTTATGGCAACAGAGATTGGCTGTGATGTAAGAAAACAGATATGTTGTTCCAAAACTTGAAGCATGATTATCCACCAAAATAATATAAGACAAAGACTGTTAATAATATGGGATTCATATCTTTGCTGTTACAGATTTGATGAATTTGATGAGGCAATCGAGGAGGCAATAGAGGAAGACATCAAAGAAGCCGAGGGCGGAGGTAGGAAGACGAGTCCTTATACTACTGAAGATTATTTAAATAAAACATATTTAAGGCAAAAGTTCTGCATGTTGGGAAATTCACTTACAGTATATTCTTTCTTTTAGAAGATCAGTAAAATGTGCAAACCAGACCCTCTAGAGAGCTCAGTAATTATATAGCATTATATTTTGTTTGTTTAATCCGTGTAAAAACAACCTAGAATTAGTCCTGCTCATAATCCCTCGTAAAACCATGACAACATCGTTTTAACAGATGTTTGTCCAGATTATTCAAATGAGATACAATGTGTTGATTACTGAGCCCTCCAAGTAGATAAACTTGATGACAGGTCATAAACTGTGACACTGAATGTTTTCTACCGCAGTCCAGGGGAATATCGAAAAACATGTAGGAAAGCTGATCAGTCCGACCAGTGTGATTAGTCATCCAGCTGATTCCTTTCAAATATTTACTGGCTTCAACCAGTGCTGCTGAAGCAGCAAGAGAGGGCCAGAAGATAGCTGGAGAAAAAGATGTACAGAAGGACAGGAGGAGGGCATCAGCTAGCATGCTGCTGCTGTGTGAGATCCAGCTAGTACAGTAGAGATGGGTCCACTGAATGAACAACAAGCATAGAGACACTATAGTATTACTATATTAAGATAATAATAATGAAACAAGTAGATTAATTTTGTGGGAAACACTGGTTTGTGTATTGTACTTTAATCCTTCAGTTTTAATTAAATCATTATATGAAATGTATTGTTTCCATTAATGTCATTAACAAGCAACAGTTAATATGCTATTAACAAGAGCAGCCTAGTAGCCTACAATATAAAGTTTAAACACGTTATCGTTATTAACAATCCTAAAAAATATCTAGATCTAGTTTTTGTCACTATCACACACCCTTACTCGGTATATAGGGTGTTAATGAGGAGGGCTAATTGTCTGCAGGAGCTGGTCGGGGTAAAGACATGGCCAACATCACAGGCCATAGAGGAAAGGATATGTCTGCCATTCTTCAAGTGGAGGAGGGTAAGGAGAATGGCCGCCCTCCACGACCCAGTGCTGGCCAGCGCAGGAAAAAACGCAGACGACTCAATGACCTGGACAGTGACAGCACTGTGGACGAGGAGGAAAGCGAAGAAGAGTTTCGACTCACTGAAAGGTAGGAATAGACGACTACACTTGACAGTTGGGGATAGACTTTGGAAGATTCATTTACACGTATTTGTTTTTCCATGGCTGGATGCAGTTCAGAAGAGGACTTTGTAGCGTCAGACAGTGACTCAGAAGGTGAAACAGATGCGGATGTCAATGACAGTGACTGTGGCAGCAACAGCAGTGGTAGGCTTCATGTTTCTTCACGGGCCAGGAAGCCACCGCAACAACGGCGAAGCTCCAGAAAGCGACAAAGACCAAGAGGGTACTCTGATGATGAAGAACAAGAGACAGATGAGGACGATGAAGAAGATGAAATAGGTAGATTGTTAGTCTCTTTCAGTGGGGCATGAAGGGACTGAATGAGCACATGCGCTATTTCAGAAAAAACTGATTAATTGTTACAGTTCTACAGGAAGTACCTTTTCTTTCAGAGGATTGTTACTGTCTTTGAAACCAATGGTAAAGATGTACTCTAGGTTTGCTTAAGCCCCTCTTCCATCGCCTCGTAATGGCTCAGCTTGAATCGACTCGACTCGCCTTATTTGTTTTTCCATCAGTCAAATGTTTTAGATAGTACCTGCTACCTGGTACTATTTTTGGTATCACCTCTGTCGAGATTCCTGGTGAGCAGAGGCAATACCAAATGGTGATGTGTAAACACTGCAGACTAGTAACTGGTCAGAGAAATCACATCCTCAATGTGCGAGATGTCCTGGGACAAAGCACCATTTTTTTAAAGTACCGTTATTTAACACTAACTATACTATACTGTAGTTACTGTACTAACTCAAAACAGCCACATATTGAGAATCAAGAACAGCATACCTTCAATGTCGTCCATTGCTATTGTGTCGGTTGCTGATAATGTCCCAGCAGTGTTATGTGGTGTTGCTGTGACAGCCATCTACACTGAGAGGGGACCATCTGCAGTGGAAAACCAAATACCCAGTATCAAAAGCAAGTAGAGTTGAGCTGAGTGTAGTGGAGTTGAGCTGGTACCAGGCAATGGAAAAATGGGCTTTTGAGGAGTCGGTGCCAGTGTAGTGGCAGTAGGTGGCAGAACATCCTTGTATTTGTAATGCGCTATTATTGATTTGTGTGTTTGTCCAGCGACTGAAGGCTCCAGTGAGTTCAGTGACAGTGATCTTGATATGAGTCGACGGCGGTCTCGACGGAGTCAGAAGAAGCAGGTGAACTATTGTGAGACGTCGGAGTCTGAAGGCTCTCAGGCAGAAACCAACCGGGCCAAAATGAAACCCAGACGTCGCCAGGAAAGCTCAGACAGCGACGGTCAGTCACAGTCACATAGTATACCTTTAGAACTGACTGTGGTCCAACATCCTGACCTTAGGTTTTAAAACCACATAATAGTGCTTTTTATCTGAGTACAAATATTTTTACATTGCCCTGGATTGACATGAATAGAAGAAGAGAAGGTCTTGAGGGAAAGTTTCTCTGAGATTATCTTTTTTTTTCTCATAAACATGAAATACGAAATCCTTACAGATGAACAACTATAACTACTTGTATAAAAACAACTGATGAAATAAATTTACCTTTTCAGCACCACGGACAGTGACTGTGTTTACCAGCTTGCAGTCAGCTCTCTTCTGTCAGCTTTCTTAATTGTCATCTAAACAAGAAACCTGGTTCTTAATAGATTAGAGAAACCTGACTGTGTAACCAAAACTGTGGAGGAGAAAGTTTTCACACTCAACTATTCCAAACAACCAGGTTTATGACATTTTAAACTAGTAAGTATTAATCTCGCAATGCTGAAAATTAAAATACTTTAATGCAAATGATACCATATATTATTCTAGTTTTCTTATATAACAGCCAGTATATTGGCTGAAGAACAACATTTGCATAAAGGAGGTGAGTCACAGTCATGTTGTGAAATTACTTGACAAGTCCTTATAAAAATAAAAGGAAATATAGGTGTGCTGCAGGGGAGCTTTTATTTAGATTTGATACCTTTAGTTGGATCAGAATAATGGTTTTAAAAATCAAAACTAGATAAAGAGTCATTATGTACAAACAATACAGTATGGTTAGAATGCTATTGACAGAAATATTTCTAAGTAATGATCAATCTTATTAGCATAAATAGTTATATTCAGTACACCAAGGTGATAAGTCATTACTGCAGGCAGGTAAAGGTGTCTCTTATTTCCTTTTTCCAGCAAGTTTCTCCAGAGACTCTGAGGAGTCATCAAGGGAACAGAGGGTAAAGAGGAGAGCTGATTCCTCAGAGGAAGACTCACGGCAGCAGCGCAGACGGCTTGCACTAAAACGCAGGAGGGCGTCTGAAGATGACGACTCGGACGACGACTCGGACGAATCATCAGAGGAGGATCGTCCCATCCGTAAACGGGTGAACCGCATTGACTCGGACGATGACGACGAGGAAGAGGAGGAGAAATCGAAGGAGAAGAAAGCAGAGGAGGAGTCCAAAGGAACAAACCCATTGGACTGCAATCTAGTGGATTTGCCACCAACAAATGGACAAAGCCCAATAAAGAGCTTTGAAGGCCTCATCAGCCGGCCCCCTGCTGCTGCTCCAGGCCTCATCCCACATCTGGGGTCCAAAAACATCAGTGCTACACCAGCCCCTGCCATAGCACCAAACGGTCTGGTTGGCCAGGAGATGGCAGCGCCGGACGATGATGAAGACGACCTGTTAGGAGTCACAGACCTAGTGGATTACGTCTGCAATAACGAACAATTGTAAACACAAATTGGTGTACTGTTTCATTTTTTGGTTGTATTGTATTTTTATATTGCGTAACTTTATTATTCCCTCCCCCACCAACACTTTCTTGTTGTCCTTTTTACTTGTGTCATCTGGAGCTTGTTTTTCAGCAGTCTCCAACAGTATGAACTGGATCTCTACCCCCAGCCCGTTGCTGTCCCTGTGGGATTCTAGTATGATGAATAAGGGCACCAACTTTTCAGCTGTCATTCGGCTGGTGATAATCAGTACACCTGCAGACCACCTACCTACATCATCATTCTTTTTTTTTTTTTTTTTTTTAAATCGTCTAAGATTAGGGTTGGGCATCATTTGGTTTTTTCTTACCAGTTCTAAAATGATACTTTAAAAATGGTGCCGGTGCCTTAACGGTACTAGAACCGATACTTAAAAAAAAATAAAAAAAAATAAAGCAGGCCATAAATTTCATAATTTGAAGGGTTGGGCCATTTGGCCTTAGATTTCATGCACCTTCAGAGGGCACAAAGGCCATTGGACTGGGCGCTAAGGCCGAGACAAATGACATGAAATGTACGTGTACGTAACTTATGTATACAGCTTGAGCAGTAAAGGTACAGACTAAAGTGCAGATGCCTGTAGAATGGTTATAGGGAAATATGCAGAGATAGTATAGTAACTCTGCACCGTTATTGTAATTTGGCTAGTAAATGGTGTTATCTGTGCATACTTAGCCCTTGTTGCTCTCTGCTCATGTTGCCAAAGATCATGGGTCAGAAGAATCATGGATGTGTTAAGGAGAAAACGGAGGAAAGGATGTATCGTTTCTCTTAATTACTCTGACTGGTGCAATAATTAAATTCTTCAGGCATCATGATGACAGAATGACCAGCATCTCTTCTAGCATGCTGAAAACTAAAAATAAATGTATAATACCTATCTGTTAAGGTTTTCACTTGGTTGCCAATATTGGCAATATTAGTACTTATTTAGCTTATGCAGTATTTCAAATACTAGAGAAAATGCAGTACATTTCAACAGTAAATGTAATGTTTTACAGTGAGTTTTCTTAAAGCTTATAGACAGAGCCAGATATCCAGTAATGATATATTATACAATAATAGTAGTGACAATAATAATATCCAGCCAAATATCCACTGCTTATCCAGTAAAACTAAAGGAAACCTTATTGTAGCACTGCATGACTGATGCACACTCCACAGCATATTATGCCAGTTACATGAACCATAGAGGTTTTATGAGCAGCGTTCCCAGATGAACAGCTTTATTAAGCACTGTTCTCCTTAATACATCCATAAACACACCTATATGAGTGACTGAATGTGTACAGTCATTTACAGAGACCGCTGTTCAAATCTGACAGTTCTGATGAGGGCAAACTGGCCACTGGCCGTGTAACTCCGACAGACAGTGTATCACTTCCAGATGCCAGGGCAGCTATGGCTATTTTATGCAACTTATACCCTGCATAAAACGAAGGTTGAAGACATTAAAAAACTAAATTCAATTCATTCTGAGCTCCCAGGTACAGATGTTGGCACATGACAGGTAGTGATGCTTCTGTTGCCTGTAATGCTATCATCTGTTTCACAGCACCAGAGAGCAAATATTTCAATCAACATGCTTTTCAGTCACACCAAAATCTGCATTGTGAATCGGTCCGATAGATACCGATTGTATAGAAACCGGTGCCATATTGGCACCAGGTGTCAGTACCCATCCCTGTCCAAGATTTCTGCAGATGTTACTCTGGCACCCATGTACATGAATGTTTGTTGTTAATTTGAATGCTAAATAACTAGGACTTGCAGTTTTTTACGTACAGTAATTCATTCCATATCTGGTTGAGTGTTCTGGGTATTAAAACAAAAATCTTGGTTTTACATTTTATCTTTCAAAGGAATAGTTTGATACTTTGGTAAATACACTTATTCACTTTCCTGTGGAGGGGAAGAGAAGATTGATAACCCTCTCATGTCTATCTGTTAAATATGAAGCTAGCAGCAGCTGATTAACTTGGCCTAGCACAAAGACTGAGTTACTTGTGATTTATTACAAGGGATCACCTTTGTACTGGTCCAGCTGTGGCACAGGAGCCACAGCAGGACCAACTGTGTTCTCCTCAACTTACTGTTCTGCTGCTAAGTGGTCAGCTCATATTTACTGTGCAAAACTGCATTGTTTGACTCCTGCTGTTTTTATGTTTGTTAATCCTCTCAGGAAGCTTACTTTTGATCAGGTATCAAATAACACACAGGAAGCAAAAAATACCCTTTTTGACAAGCCAGCAGTTTTTCTGGAGAACCACTCCACATTTAATGCACAGTTATTTTTTAGCAGTGGTTTGGTTTATAACACAAACCGCAGAAAATGAGCACCAATCCATTACCTTGAATCTTAAAGTCTAAACTTTTTTTTTTTTTTTGAATGTCAGACTTTCAAATTTTTTTTTTTTTTTTTTGCATTGACAATAATATTTCAGGAAAGTTTGCATATTGTCAGTACCATTTAAAAATTTGCAAAAGTAATGGCATAAAACAACAAAAGTGTAAAAATTTGAACCAGTCCTAAGGTAACATGACCAGCATCTCTAAAGCTCATTAGCTCATACATTATATAGTTGGTTTGTTTTTTTTAAATCCATACAAAAACAAAGTGTGATAAGAGCATTTTGTAGATGCATAACCAGCTGGAAACCAGCAACATAAGAAATAAAGTTAATTAGTGAGCTTTAGAGACGCTGCCAAGTGAGTTGTATTTCTTTCAGACAGAGCTAGACTTTCCTTGGGTCTCCTGGATTTTGTGCTAAACTAACAAGCTGCTGGTTAGCGTCTTGCATTTAATGGGCCGTTAAGAGAGTGACATCAATCCTTTCTTCTAACTCTCCACCAGAAAGCAAGTTTTTGGAGGAGACTTCTGTTTAGGTGGGGTAGGGGAGTTGATCATGTCCACTTGGATCACATATTTGATAAGCTAACACTTCACATCCCACGCTGTGACACTGCAGGTCAGATATTGTTGTGTGTGCTGGTGTTTTCTGTCATTAGATATTAAAGTGCCACACATATATATATTCAACTCTTTGCATCATAGAAGGTGCGAATGTATATATGTGAGCAACTAATTGCCAACCTTCATTAGCTTTCCCCTTGAGCTTTTTTGTTGAATGATAGAGTAGCTTTTGTATATTGTATACATATATAATTATTTTAACAGTTTGTTGCCATTAGTATCAGTGGTGAGTTTTGAGACTTTGTTTGGGCAAACAAAATCCGAAGTTAAACCCTCTTGTCCCTCTAATCTTGAGATCTAGTCTAGCTTTATCTTATAACATTTATATATTACCTTTTGTGATTTTTCTTTTATAATGATGTATTTTTTTGTACATCTAAATGTTGTCTCTTTGAGCAAAATGTAAAGTGTCTTATTTTCTTTGTACATTGTCCTTCATAGAAGGTTCGAAAACCCGCAGACCCATGGCTTTTATTAACTAAAATAACACTCGGCTCCAAAACACTCCTGCTTTCTTTTGGTTTTTGTTTTTATTCTGGTCCCTGGATCCTCTTGCATACAAATCCATGTTTTTTTTTATTTTTTTTTTTATAATCTTGAGTTGATGTGTGGGTCAGCTTACTTTAAACTTTGACTTTTAAGACCTCATCCTGGATCAGTATTGTGAAATTGAACTAGTGAAATAATTTGTTTTGAAGCATCAGGTGTTTGGATGGGGGAAATGGACAGAAAAAGAAATACTAACCAATGACTTCACTGACTTCTGCTGGAACCAGTCTGTGTATATCTGTAGTTTTTGCTGTAATATATTTAGAGGCATTTTTTTAATCATGAAAAATATATTGGGCAATTCTTTTGGGATTGCACGAGTTTCTAATAGTTTTCTTTTGTAGGAACGTAATATTGGCACAACATTTTTTGTAACCAAACCTATCAGAAAACCTTGGCATGTTTATGTCTGCCACAGTGCGTCCTGACCTGTTGTTTTAGCACTGAAGGACTCGAGGTAGATACAGCAGGATATGTCGTCATTTGCAGTGAAACTGCATAGGTAAGCATGTGCTGACCTAAAGGCATGTTACAGATGTTTGGGGAGAATGGGAAGTTAACACAGAAATAATTTAGAACAGCTGAATCTGATTAAAGAGAGGAAATGAAGCCTGTTTGTAAGATATATTGTAAATTAGTCTCCGCATGGTCTTCACAGAGGATAACCCACTATTTATCATACCGTTTTGATACTGGCTATGGCCAAAATATGACTTCCGAGACAACCTGTATGTGCTGCTTGCACTGCCCACAACATACACAATATTTAGAGCTTTTAGAGTTGTAGGACAGAATATAGCAACTCCAGTTCTACAACTATAATAGAAGTGTGTGTTCTGGTGGGTTGAGCCAGAGCACAGCAATGTGGACGTCTGTATGTTGTATGTAACCATTTTATATTCTCCACTGAGATAAGGAGAAGGTGATATGTTTCTCACGGTTATGAAATAACCAGTAGCACCTGCATAGGAATAGAGACTAAGGAGTGAGGAGTGAAATAAAGGCAGCGATGGGGTTGTGGGAGGAAAGTGATGCCAATGACTGAAGTGTTAACAAGAGTTTCCAATTTACCTCAAGAATCTGGGAGGAAAGACACCCTGTCCGTTGTGTATAGATTCTACTAGACTGGTCATTGGTGTTTTGTCTGCTCCTTACATTTTTGTTATCTTCACTGTTATTTCTTATGAATCTGATCTTGTACATTTGTCATAATAAAATGGGGTTTAAGCCTGATGTTTTTATGGCCTGGGTGACTAATGTGGAAAAGGCCCTATTGTCCAATTCCTTGGGCAACTTTATTTATACATCACATGTCAAACGCAAGGCAATTCAAAGTGCTTTGTAGAAATCTGAACAAAATTACTTCAATTAATATAATATATATGCTAAGAATTATAAACAAACTAATTGAAAAGATGTCAACTCATAAAAAAACACTGGGAAACAAGTAGTCTGGTTTTAAATGCATCCACATAGGCAGAAAAATTATTGGTCATTTAGAGTAATTTCATACTTTTAAGGAGACTTCAGCAGCGTTGGAGCAAGGTGATGGAGAAAATTAGAGCAGGAAGAGATCACTGACGTTTACCAGCTTAGGAAGGATGGTGACATGTCAGGAAGAGATCCTGCTCAAATTTTACAAAAGGCCTCAATGAAATTACATAATGTGTATGATTTCTATGGACTGAAGCTAAAAACGTCCCAAATGGTTACCGAGGCCATCAGTGACCATGTCTGGGACACTGATGCTGTACATTGGTTCTCTATGACATCAACACTCTGGATATATTTATCAGCCATCTGGAATCACCATATTTGTGACATGGCGTTAATGTATTGTATGTTTTTGATGCTGCCGAGTGAACAATGAAGCTGTTGTTCATGATTTGGCAATTGGCGTGAGAGAGGGAAGCGCAGAAAGGTCGTGTTGTGTAACAGATGGCATGCAGGCCAAAGTACAGTACCAGATGCTCTAGAGGTGGACTGGATTTTTTTTTTGAGGGGGGATAAATCTGGAGGACCACGAAATAAGATTGTCATTTTGTTCATGTTTGTGATTTTGTTGATAATGACCACTTGATTTAAGTACTGATTGCCAAGAACAAAAACTACTAACAGGTAATGCTATGTATCCAGTAAACCAACCAACACCTCATGAACAGAATTTGGCACAATCTAAGCACCAATTATGGACTTTCCCTTTCCCATTTCTTTGATTTTTAAATGGATATATATCTTCAATATTTTAATGTAAACTGTGAGAAAATGCTGTTTCTATATGTAGTATGTGGCTTATACACTCATACCGTACACAGCCTACAATGTAATTTTACATAATAGGGAAACTTGTGCAAAAGGGTCAAAGGTTTATTATTAGAGCACTGATTTTTGGCACTCAAGCTATATACACATACGAAAAGACAACCATACAGTAAATGTGTAGCCAGTGTACTCAAAATTACCAAAATTCCAATATAAATATTACACTAGTATACTTATAGTTCTTTAACTCGACATTATTTATCACATTAGTTATATTTTCCTTAAGACTAAACACAGCGTTCAGCATGTTTATGTACTTTCTAGGAATGTCACTTGATTTGAATTTATGTCTTCTGTCCCACTTTGTGCAGTGATGTTATGCTAATTTGTCAACATGGCATACAATACTTAAAAAGTGTTTGCATAGTTCGGTGGCTTGACCCGTGTCACCGCTACTGTGCTTTTTGTTTCTGGACAGCAGTGACATCCAGGCCAATGGTACTCTGTCCAGAGAGGAAAGGGATGATCTTCTCAAACAGCAGAATGCAGCTCGCCACACCTGGGAACACATGTGGTTGGCACAGGGTGTTACTGCGGTCTACGTCTGGGGTCTAATCAGACGCTAGCAAAGATATTTCAAATATGAATCACTGAAAATAAGATAAAAAATGACAACGTAGACGAGCATGGCTTAGGTGTAATACTGCCTTGGAGTGGTATTCTAAGCTTAGTGTAGCCCACATTTCACCACGGTAGACCCCACCACCCCAGTCCACTCAGTGTCACCTCCACAGATGTTACTATGTAATATTAACATCTGCTGGGATTAATGAATAATAGTGCATATCAAACACTATAAACATAATATTGTCATATTCTTTTATCAAAACTGTTGTGTCCTTAAAATATTATCAGGCACTATCTAAAATGTTAAGCTTCTTTCTAGATTAATGTACTTCTAGAAAACTTGATTTAATTTTATTGCTCCTGAATGTGCATCTCTACTGTCCTGTGACATGATGTCTTTATTAATCAAGTGTGTTACCACCATGCTCTTGCAGTCTTAATGGAAACGTGCACACTGAGGTGATTACCTGAAATATGTTGCGCAGGTACATGCTTGACAAATACCACAAGCGAGAGTATTGAGATGGGCTCATAATGTGCCACTTCTGCTCCTTACCTAGGATTGGGCCGAGCCAGTATACTAAACAGTACTCCAGGTACGTGTGGCCGCTGCAAGGAAACTGGACGGAGAAGGCCAGCACGGGGTTAAACATGGCTCCTGAAATATTTCCACCTATGCAGAGGAAGTGAAACAGCAGAGGGTCAAGTCAGAACCGTGGAATGCCACATATGGGAGTAACTGTGAGTAAATAAGAAGTAGCATGACCGCCACCTGAGGGGACTGAACGGTGTTTGTTCCTCTGTGTTTTGTGTAAATATCCTGTTGCCCTCAAGAAACACTTCATTTCACTGGTATGTAATGTATTAATAACTTCCTAGACTTTCCAGAAAGAACTGTGTAATCTGGTAGTAATGACACAACAGAGATAATATTTGATATTTTAATTAATTCCAGTGAATTGCTAATTTAATGATCTAGAGAGTCTTTTGGTGCAGAGCAGGTGAGCTGAACAGATAAAAATGTGAAATGTATTTTTAGAAAAAGGATGCAATATGTTTGTAGTAATATTTGGCTACAACTAATGATTGACTGACAACTAATGAAAACAGTTTCCAGGATCTTAAGGTGACGTCTCAGTTCATTTTTGTCCAACCAACAGTTAAAACTCAAAGGTATTTAGCTTACATTGAGGTAAAAACCAAAAGGTCCTGACATTTGAGAAGATGAAACCAGAGGTTTTTGATAGATAAATGAAATGATTAAGTTAATGTCAGACTTGGTTCAGTTTTCCTTCCAATTAGAAACAGCCCACACACATTTTCCAGGAAACTTCCTACATACAAACTTTGTCGAGTCATAAAGCAGAGGTTGTTTTTCCTACTGTCACTGAACAGAAAGTCGTAACTTCCTGACAAACCTGATTCAAGGTCAATAGGTTTGTGGCAATTTAAGTAAACAAGTTTGTTCATATGAAATAACGCATGTCAGCACAATATTAACACTGACCAAATTTACTGGAGCTAGATTTTGACAGGACGTTTCCACAAGATCACAGGACTTTCCTTAGGGTAATTTTCATTTCACCTGCTCGTGTGCTTATAATTAATGACAAGTAATTTAATTTACCACAAACCAAGTGACAGTAGCTACAGCAAATGTCTTTTTCAGTATTTTCGGAGACTGTACTCTAAACCAAACTTGCTTGGCAGGTTAGTTGTTATATTTTGTTTTGCCAGGTCCCAGGTTGTTGCTGTGTTCTTTGGCCTGTGTGTATTTTATGAATGACAGGATCAGATCCAACGATGGTTAGTTTTGGCACAGGTGGCGTTTAGTCAACCCACCTGCGTAAACCAGAGCAGTAATTACAGCAGCGATGTAGTGATCGCGGAGTTTTTCATCCACTTTGTGGACGTGCATGGCTGCACTTTGGACTACGAACGCACAGGCCAACTCCACGGCCCAGGCCTCCAGCACAGTCCCACCGAGCGGGTCGAAACAGCTGAACCCGAACCTCTGGTGCCGGAGGTGGATGTCAGACAGACCCAGCGACCACACGGAGGCTGAGAAGAACTGCGCGGCGACCGCAGCTGCGAACTGGCAGGCTATGAGGGCGACGGCCGTCTGGACTGTGCTGACCCCGCGGTAAACTCTCTCCAAAGACCCACAGGGGTTACAAGCGGACCCCCTAAAAGTTGCGCGGTGGATGGTCGTCATGATGTAGGTGAGGGCCAGGCTGACCGGCAACCGGGCCGTTTCTCCCAGCAGTTTTTGTTCATGGCAGCAGCTGCACAGCTGGAAGGTAGACGCCGCTTCCAACAAGTAAATCCGCCAAACTCCGGAGAAATGACGCGCCGCCCAGCGGGTCGCCTCGCTGAGGAACACCACAGCTCCCAACACCGCCAAGGAAGCCCACAGGTCAGTCATTTCTCCGGCTGATCGGAGTCGGTGCTTAAGATACGAGCCATTCCTATTGATCGGGACATCTTTAAAGTATCACTGTTTACTTTGCTCCCCCTTCTCGGCGTCATTATCCAGTTGATCCACGCTGCCAAGTCGAACCGTTCACGAAACCGGAAACGCGTAGGGTTCCCCTTCAAAATACGTGCGACCGGAGCGTCTCCGCAGGCAGCAGCGTCGCCCTATGCGCTCAAACACAGGTAACACATTAACAACACATCTCTATTGGTGACTATAGAGATGCAAGTAGTTTCTGGGTATGTATGCACATGCTATAGAGGTCAGGTTTGGTGATATTTAGGCCAATAAAAACATTAAAGACCATACTAACTATGAATTAATCCTTTTGTGAAATGATAATTACACATAACTGAGCAACACTGGCGTCCCTTTAACATTACCAGGGAGACAGTTTTTTTCTGATCCCAGTCCTTGTAAATAATATAAACGCAATGTTTTTGAAAATCCACTGTCAATTTTGAAGGTTTATGTCTTCACTAGGAAGCAAATGGACTTGTGGCTGAAGACCAAATAAATGGGGCATGGAAGTCCAAGTATTGAGAAGTGGACTGATACTTTGAGGGTTTTGTTGTGCTCCTGAAATTTGTTGTCATTAAGGACATATAGAATAACACTATCCTTTTAGGTACTGATTTTTGAGATCTCTTCCTCCAGACAAATTAATATGGAGTTAGGTGGAAGTAGGTTTTAGACACTTGCATAATAAAATAATTAAATTAAATTAGCGTCTTTCCAGAAACAGTGCTATTGTTATGCAGGATAATTCACAAGTCTCACTGAATCAACAAGACAATGTCTGTGAAAACTCAGTTATGCTGAGTCAGCGGGACATTGTTGACAGAGTAGCCTACTGCAAACTAAACTTCATTCACATCTGCTGTTTTGGGGTGGAGAAATCTGAGATCAATATCTCAAAGCCTGAATATAACCGTTATAAAGTCTGACTTTCTCTTGGGTCTTTACAGCACCAGGTTGTTGTTGCACAAGCCTTTACAGAGCCAGGATAGTTTTCCCATGTGCAGTCTTTGTGCTAAGCTAACTGCCTCCTGGCTGTAGCTTCATATCAAATGCATTTCCCAAAACATTTCTCTCCCATCCTTTCATGTCACCTTCAGTATGTTATGGCAATAATTCAGGTGCATCATGTAACCAACATTTATTTTGAAAGCTGTAACAGGAAACAGATGGGTTTATTTGATGTGCTGATATTTATGCTAATCTGGGGCAGTACACACAGTACACACAGCCTGGGAGTGACAGCATTTTGACAACCTTTCCAGGAAATGGGTAGTGGTGGTATGAACATACTTGTAACAGTGACATATTTTTCTTTTGTTCTGTACTTGAGCACATTAGCTTTGAAATGAAACTTTGAGGTCAAAGTGCTGATTTTCAGCATGTGTTATCTCATGTTTGAAGATGACTGAAAAAGAGAAGATAAACACAAATGCACACATTTACACTACAACCTTCAATATAGTGTCCCTTTTAGGCTGTTACATCTATTAATATACCAAGCTTAACTTTCAGACTAGTAAACAAGCTTTGATTGCTATTTCCTGTTGGAAGCATGTTTAACATTTACAAGCATTTTGACAAGTCCCTCATGCAACTGCAAACAAGTGGCTGAATGTCTAGAGAATGAGAACTAGATATTACTTCACAGGTTTGTGTGACCCAAAGCAGCCATAACAATTTGATAAGTTTGTAAATCAAAGCTTGTTACTGTTAGTTTACCATGTACACAAAGGTGTCTCTTTTAGTGTAGCAATGGAATAGAGGCTAGGAAATCTTTAAAATGTTCATTAAGCAAAGATCATAGTTTGTTTATCAAAGTATAAAATATTGGTTGTTAACTGACACATTCATCAACACATGCAATTACACATATGTGGCAGATATTGAAAAGCTAATTCTTCCTCACAACATGATCTGCTGACAGATGAAAAACATAGTAACCAGTGTGTTATGGCATAGTGTTAATAAGGTGTTGATGTTTGTCCCTGCAGCACAATCTGTTTGGTACAGCTGGCTCTCTGGGAGCAGATGACCAACAGCAGGCAGGGAACAGTCTGCCTGCAGCATGCAGGCCTTCCTCCAGCTGGCAGCTCAGACAGACAAGCTGGTGCTCTTTGACCTCTACCGTCGACCCAGAGCTCACCCATACAGAGACGCCTGGATCCAGCGCACACTGGAGGTCGTCCAGAGCAAGTCTTCACAGGTGAGAGAGAGAGAGACTCTGGTTCAACTATTACAGGACAGGCTCCTTTATTCCAGCTGCTTATAATGCTACACCAAACGGACATCAAAGTTAAGAAAATAATGACAAAGTAATAGTCAGTGTGTGATGTAGGGCTGAAAGCAAGAGGACAAGCACAAGAAAATCTGACATCAGTAAAGAAGTGACACAAAGGTGGACAATCTTGCACTGCATATGCTGCGTGATGTGTAACTGGCTCCTGTTTGAACGGCATACAGCACATCACTGTGTCCCACTTTTAGATAATATGTAGCTAGTAAAAGCGTGTACAGTTTGCATTACTGCATCTTTTATTAAAGTAGAACCTATGAGTACTGGTATAAATGGGAAAAGGTTTACCTTGTGAATTCTCTTGTATGAAGGCAGTGTCACACCAGACTCAGTTATAAAATCTTTGAACTTAACTGCATTGTTTGGCAAAGATAGTAAATGACTTAAAGAATGCAGTTATCTTAAGTAATGTGACAGTCTCAGCGGTGCTTCTGTGTGTGTGGATGCTGTGTCACCAGGTGCTGTGGCTACCAACAGATCTGAGTACAGGAAATTGATCCTGAACTCCAGCAGATGTCAGGAAATTGGCTCCCTCTAGAGGAGCTGCAGAGTAACCACAGTCAGACGAAACTTGCACTACAGCTCCATATCTGCAGAGCTCATCAGGTCTGTGTGTGTGTCTGTGTCAAGGTGCCCCTGATATTTAATCACACAACATGACTTTCCTCTCTGGTGTCAAAGTGGAAAGGTCTGGATAACATTTCATTAGATGGCAGAATGATATTTTCATCTACTGAGCTAGCGTTAAGCTAGCTGAGTTGCCTTGGCGAAACAGGTGTGCCTATCTCTGAGTGCATATAAATAAGTGCAATGTAAATAGAGTGCAGTAGATAAAAGCAAAGAAAAATGTACACAACTATGCTATCTAAAGTTGTTACTAATATATTTAAAGATCAGATTTTTGTCACTAATATACAAACAACAAAACATTATTATTTTTAATATTTTACTATTATGGGAGTAAACAGGTGTTCCTGAACTGATAACTCTGCCCTGTCCGGTGAGATGCAGACCACAACCTCTGGCCCTTCAGGCAGCAGAAAGGTACTGTGGTGGATAAAATTACGACTGTGTGCTGGAACAACTGATTATATTAGTGGCACAGCTGTATTTTCTACTGGAGGCAGTTGTACACTAGAGTTTGAATGATCCAGAGAATAATTCTTTGGGTCCATTTTGTCCTTTGGTCCCTGTTAATGAATTCAGATCATTGTAGTAATTCTGTACATGTTTTGCACGTTGATGCCTGTCTGTCTGTGGTTCAGTTCCCCCTGGAGCCGTCCATCTGGGTTGCAGCAAAGAGATGCTTGCCATCCATGTCGTGTGTTCAGGACAACTTTTACAGATGCTGATCATCATGGACAGGTATGGAATCCAACTGTTTAAACCAGTACATCTTCTGTGTATGTCATTGTTGTATTTATTGAAAGATGGAACTGTAGTCCACTGAGTAACAGCGCTATTTTTTCTCATAATCATGGAAATTAATACAGAACATACACAGCAGTGTGTTTGAAATGAGGCCAGATGTGGAGAAACAGTCACACAGTATTTCACCTCAGTGAAACTTTACATGATATCTTGTAGATAATTCCAGTTTGGATACAGTTAATCTTTTATAGTTGTAGTATACAAAATTAATTATCAGCTCTGTCGGGAATCAAACCCATGCCACATTGTTGTAAGACTGGTTTTCATGGTGCACCACAAGTTCAAATCACATTACCTCTTGCTCATTTCACCTATTTGAGTCACATTAGTTACCTCCATGGTCCAACTCCCACCAATTTCATGTTACAGCACTTACATCAACTGTTTTCATTTGCTCCAAGTATCACGGTTTAGTAGTTATAGAATGTTTAGTACTGAATGCAACACTGTCAAACCAAATCTCTGTCGACTCAGTTTCTATTTGCTTTGAAGACTCAGCTTATGTCTCTCAAAGCGCTGAGACAACCAAACCAGTGACAGAGTTTCAGTACCGAATAAAGCAGTACTACTGTTGACATTTTATATTATGATGACAGAACATGCTTTAATGAGCTGTCCCAGGTTCAGGTGGGAGAGGGAATTATTTAAAAATACTGTTTTAAGAGGTAGAATGGCCTTTAGTTTACTGGAGGTGTTGGGACAAAGGTTAGGGGATATAGGACACAGAGCACTTATGAGGATTTTAGAGAGCATAGGGTTACACAAGATAGTATAAGGTGAACTGAGTGGGGTTATTTTGGTGTGGTAATAGGTAGGGGTTGTTCTGATCCACACTCCAGTCTGGAAGGTGGCGGTAATGCACCTAAAGCTGGTTGCCAACCGTCATAAAAAGCAGCCGAAGAAGAAGAAGAAGAAACAATAATAACCATTGCCAGGTGAAGTGAATAATGTTGATTATCTCGTAAGAGTGGCGCCTGTCAGTGTGGGGGGTATATAAGACAGCAAGTGACCGTTCCGTTCTTGATGCTGGTGTGTTGGAAGCAGGAAAAATGTAAAGTGTAAGAAGCTGAGTGACTTTGACAAACGGTGGTGGTGGTGGTGGTGATGATGATGATATATCTTTTGTTCGGAGGTGCGTGGCATAGAATAAAACAAACATTGTGCTCTGGAACACAATACGTCTAGAACAATTCAAAACAGAAACTCTATATTTATAGAGTTCATATCTTTTGTTCGGAGGTGCGTGGCATAGAATAAAACAAATTTTAGTGTGCTGCGATGTGTGTTTATACAGATGCTTAGCGGTTACTGAGTTAGAGCAGTTGAGTAAATGTATAATTTCGAGTTCATGTGGGCGTGTAACGTTTGCCTTTCAGACAAACCAGGTGTGTGTCCTCTAATTAGCTCCATGTGTGGTTAGCCTTCCGGTACGCTACTGTTTTGCTTTAGCATGTTGCTTTTAACAACGAGGTTAATTGTTAAAACTCGCTTCCAGGACGTTTTGCCATGACGGTAACTAGTCACCTATCCCTTGTTGGCTCTGTAGTTTGACTGCCAGCGATTTGAGAACGGTGTTACATATTGAATATATGACTAGATTAACATTAGCAACCTCTTGTTTTAAACCCCCAACAAGTTCACTAATATTTAGGGGACACAGGTCTCTGACACAGATGTCTGTCGTGTAGTGGGGAAACGTTTTAGTAAAGTATATGTGTAGTTTTTCTGCCACGTCTGCGTAAGATGGAGCCTCATTTAGATTGAAGTCCAGACAAACCATCAGCTGCCAGTCATTAATGAACGGCCCGAAAAGCCTGTTATGTTTAAATTATATTAATATTGGAAGGTTTTGACAGTGGAAGCAATGCCAGGATTTAATGACATCAAAAACTATCGGTAACCACGTAAAGAATGGTGTCCTGTTAACAACCCAGGGAAACCACACGTGAAGTTAATTCACTGCTCAGTGCCTATAACTGTTTAGATATTGTGTATGAAATGGTAGACACCGATGTGCTTGTCAAATTTCATTATCCTTAAATTGATCACAGCTATATTTGTGACGTTTATCTTATTCTACTCCTGTTCTGCATTCAAGGTGACAGACCTGCTGAATACATCAGCTCCAGAACTTGGGAGGCGCACGGCCCAGTGAAGATAACCCACAACATTTTGGGTTGACCCTACAGACCTCCAGACAATTCTGGTGGTGAGTATATTGTTCAGAACATTGTGAATTTTATTACGTTAAACTCTTATTGCAGTGGATAGCTTCTCAAAGTGAAATTTAACATTCCTTCAGTTTAGTATTGCCTGTTTGGCACATCTGATTGTAGTAGGACATAGCTATATACTTAGCCTGACATTTTATGCTGTGAATCACATTCTATCCTAAAACAAGTCTAAATAGCCCATAGCTTAAAAGATGTTTAATGGTGGGTGTTCAGTAGGCTGGATGGCAGATGTGATCTCATTTCAAATGTTTAATTGATGAGCTAAATAACACTTGGCTCTGTCAGGAATCGAACCCAGGCTACATTGTTGTAAGACTGTGGTTTTCATGATGCACCACAAGTTCAAATCAGATTACCACATTTACAGTTTTCAGCTGCTTTGGCAAATCTAGCAACGCAGCTTATCACACATTGTCAAACGTAGTTTATATCTAGGGAATCAGGACCGAGCGATGTATCCGTCCCCTTATTTTTAGTCAACACAGGATAGTACTGAATGTTAGGAGCAGTTTACTTTTCCTGACAAACACACAAAAAATACTATTTAAAATAGTACTATGTACCTTTGATTTTGAATCATTTTAAGATAAGCACACTGGGCATCACCTGCTATCATGATCTCCAGCTCAGCCGAGGAGAGGTCTGTTGGGTCCGTTGGGAACATGTTGAAATCTCCCACCATGCACTGCTCCTCTTCTATACTGGAATCTGCCTATCGCTGCTTATCCAAGATGATGAATGTGCACTCAACACTCAGCTCTGTCGGGAATCGAACCCACACTAGATTATTACAAGACTGTGGTTTTCATGATACACCACAAACTCCTGTCACATTACTTCGTGGTCGTTTCACCTATTTGAGTAACTTCAGCTACTACACTCCATGATCCTTTATCAACTCTCACCAATGCGCATGTTACAGCGCCTACATCAACTGATTTCATTTGCTCCGAGTATCATGGTTTAGTAATGTTATAGAATCTTTAGTACTTTAGGCGACACTGTCAAACCAAATCTTTATCGACTCAGTATCTATTTGCTTCAAAAGCTCAGCTCAACTCTCCCAAAGAGCCAAGACAAGCAAACCAGTGATGGGGTTTCAATACCGAATGAAGAGGTAACGTGCGTCAAACGTCACCAGTCACGTGACCAAGCCATGCCTCGGCACAGTGATTTGATGCTGCCTCAGGTGTCAGAGGCCCATCACTGCTGACAGGTGAGGTGAATCACACTGATGAGCTCGTTACAGCCACCTGTCAATGGGTGGGGTATATAAGGCAGCAAGACAACAGAGTCTAAGGAAGGACAGACGGTGAAGTGGTGACCGGGTCATGGACGCACACGGCTCTGATGATGAGGTTGATCTGTTGCATTTTAGTTTTAATGTGTATCGTTCTGTCTATATGCTTAGCGGTTACTCTGGGGTAAAGCAGTTGAATAAATGTATAATCTCGAGTTCATATAGGCCATTTTATCCAGAGTTTAATGTTGGCGTGTAATGTTAGCAAAACTCTGCTAGCAAGAAGCTTCTCGAGCTGAACGCGAGCTAGGCGTGTGTCCTGTAATTGGCTCCATGTGCGCTTAGCCTTCCGGTATACTATTGTTTGCTTTAGCGTGTTCGTTTAAACAACGAGGTTACAAGTTAAACTTGTTTCTAGGAAAATTTGCCATGACTTGGCGGTAACTAGTCCCCCTGTTGGCTCCCTTTAAAGCCCAGACAACCCATCAGCTAGTCATTAATGAACGGCCCGAAAAGCCTGTTATGTTTAAATTATATTAATATTGGAAGGTTTTGACAGTGGAAGCAATGCCAGGATTTAATGACATCAAAAACTATCGGTAACCACGTAAAGAATGGTGTCCTGTTAACAACCCAGGGAAACCACACGTGAAGTTAATTCACTGCTCAGTGCCTATAACTGTTTAGATATTGTGTATGAAATGGTAGACACCGATGTGCTTGTCAAATTTCATTATCCTTAAATTGATCACAGCTATATTTGTGACGTTTATCTTATTCTACTCCTGTTCTGCATTCAAGGTGACAGACCTGCTGAATACATCAGCTCCAGAACTTGGGAGGCGCACGGCCCAGTGAAGATAACCCACAACATTTTGGGTTGACCCTACAGACCTCCAGACAATTCTGGTGGTGAGTATATTGTTCAGAACATTGTGAATTTTATTACGTTAAACTCTTATTGCAGTGGATAGCTTCTCAAAGTGAAATTTAACATTCCTTCAGTTTAGTATTGCTTAAATGTGATACCTTTTTACAAGAGTGGTGCTTTATAACTGCAGATTACTGTTAAAGATCAAATTTGCATGTCCCGTTTTAATAAATTGAGGGTAAAAAAGGGGAATTAAAGTAAATGTTCCTTATAGCCTTGATGGCGATGAACCCAGCAGAGGGATGATATCAGCAGTTTGGCCTTTTTGTTTGGGACTTGCCACCACTAATTCAGAGAGGGGCCTCCACACATTATTTATTTATTATTGAAACTAAATGTTTACCAAATTTTTTGCAGCCATCCACTTCTGCCCAACCAGCTGCTGAGGTTTTGGCAAGATGGGAAATCTCTACTGGTGGGGTCATCAAGGCAGAGTACCTCACATTTCTCTCCATGCTGTTGCACTGCATGTGCCTGGACCACAGTTATGAAGATGCTCCATAATTGTGGTCCAGTCACATGTTGGCTCTGCAGCATTTATAAAGGGTACTCAGTGACTTTTTTTCAGCCTTGTTTTGATGTGTTCTCTTCAATAAAGCAATTACAACTTTAAAGCTTTCTTGTCCTGGTTTTATTATAACAATAGGATGCACTGGTTCATGTCTTAGTTCTTCACTAGATAATAAATTTTTTATTTGTTGAAAGATTGCTGCTGCTTCACTGTCCACATCAGGAAAATGGTCCCTCTGAAATGAAAAATAAACATTGACTGTGAAATTAAGCACAAATTGCTTTTACATTTATCTCAATGTCATGAGGGTTGACAGGAATAAGTCTTCCCAGTTGTGTCCAGATAATCTTGGATTAAAGGCAGGCTCTGGGGAAGGTGCACATATGTGCAACATTTATAAACAGTTTACATGTTTGACTTTAGTCACCGGCTTTAAATGACTGAAGATCAAAGTTAGTTATAAAGCCTACTTTGGAGAATTGTTTAACCTACTGCTATAAAATTAAATGATATAGGTGAGTTCACAAAAGTTCTCAAAACATGACTGCACAGAGTACCTGGATGTAAAGACACTGCAAAGAAACCTGACAAGAACTCCGGCGCTATGGCTGCCTTGTTTCTGGCCATTTGGAGGATCAGAACCTGTGACAAAGAGTTGAGCAATGGTCAATCACTTATGACAATGTTTGCCATAAACATGACAGATATAACAAGTTTTTACTAATTTATGGCAAACATTGTCATGACAGATATAACAAGTTTTTACTAAAGCAATACAGGCTCTGATCTTATGGTTTAAGGCACAACAACAAAGCTTTGTTAAATGAAACTGTTACACTACAGCTCATTCTGACCCTGTGTACAAACATGGCGGATACAAATGCAGAGTGAAAGCACTTATAAAGACACTAATATGCACAGCTTACAGCTGTCTTAAAACACCATATCAAATTAGGAAGTTTGTCAGTGGGGAAAACATGGATCAGATTAGAACCAAGAATGAAATGTATGCAATTACATTGGGTTGCATTTTAGCTATAAAAATTGATAATTACAATTTATATCAAAGTTGCTGAAACACTTTTGAAATTAGTCTGACCTGAAGCTATCAGTGCTAGTATAGTACTCTCACTTAAACCACAACTGTAGAATGTGACAGCTGTCACTCCTACATGTGGACATCAAATGCAAGCTGAGGTGAGAAACATTCTACAGTTGTGGAGTAGGGGCCCAGAACACTGTTCGGTCCTCCTCGCATGACACGCCTGAAACTATTTAAGCCGTGCGAATCCCATATTCTTGTCCGTGCGTTCTGTGGCCTATTGAAAGATACATGGGGTGAGTTACTCCTATAATGTCTGCCCTAGTTATAACAATTACTCTGATCACAGAAACCTGTACAAACTAACAGTGACTACTTTTATTTTTGGTAATTTAGATATATTTCCCTGCTAATGCCTTTGCACCATTATTTAGTGATGGCCGTTTGACACCCGAGGCTCCGACACATGCGCGGTAGCTCATGAAACAATTGTTTCGAACCACTGTGCCGAGGCGTGTTGACGTTTGAAGCACTTGAGTGACGTCCGAAGCAGTTGGGTTCGTCGGACGTCAGGTAAATCAGTTGATTGGTTCGGTTTGTCATGTGAATCACTTTGGACCAAGTGTGTTCAGAGATAGGATATCCCTATTTAGTGATGTTCATTTGAATCTGTCTTCCTACCTGGAATAGAAAACATAAATTTAGACAATTGTGTTAACAGCGAAGCACCTACGCCCGCGCGCTGCCTACATACAAAACGCAACACACGAAATGCTTACGGTGACTTTCTACAACGCAAACCCACCTGATTAGCAAAACAACTCCCGCACCACCGGAAACTAACATATAGAGCCCACTGATTGCACAATTTCACTCTGCTCTGTGATTGGACTGCCACTGTCCAATCAGAGTCTTCTTCTTTGTCTTCTTCTGCTGATAAATGGCGGTTGGCAAACAGCTTTAGGTGCATTACCGCCACCTTTTAGACTGGAGTGTGGATCAGAACAGGCCCTACCTACTACTATAACATAATAACCTCACTCAGTTCACATTATATTATCTTGTTTAACCCTGTGCTCTCTAAAAACGTAATATGGGTTCCGTATCCTATATCCCCTGATCTTTGTCCAATCAGATTGAGGTGTGATTCACACTAAACCTCAGTACTCCTAAATAGAGTTGCATGTTCAATTTGCTACTTTCTGTCTGTACACGGATGTTCACAAACAGGCTTGTTTTCAGTGTCTTTGTGTAACATTTGTTTACAGATTTTATTCACACTTTCAAAAGCATTTTTACATACAAATCTTTACAAAGCTTCGACACTATATTCCAAAAAATAGCTAATTACTCGAGGCTTCAAAGACGGTGGTCGAGTAGGACATCTGGTGGTCAAAACAATGAATTGCATTCCAGACGTGTCGTTTATTGGTTCATGGATTGTTTGGGATTTGATTCGCCATACATATCCCTGTTCCATTACACTACATGGTTGTATGGTTTCAAGATATTATGAGAACGTTTTTGTCATAACTTTAATGAATTCATTTATCCCATTTATTTTCCCCACTGAATGTTGCTCCCCTGGCGCACACGGCAAAAATGTGTGTTTTTTTCCGGTATTGCTTCCGCATTCTGGTGTCCACTGCACATGCGCACTAGGCGGCAGTGGGGACAGCGGCCGAACTTTCTCAGGCTCCAGCGTTGAAATATCTGCCGTGCACACTAGCAAAGTATAAATCTCTTGCAATTACAAACACACCTTTCATATAGAATCGCTTTTATTAGCAGATGGAAGTCGCCTCAAGGCGTTTTACAAACGATGAACACATTTATTAGTGCCTTTATTCTATTATTTCAGAATCTGTGTGTATGTACATGCACATGTGTGTCTGTGGATCTGTTCATGTTTGGTTGCTTAAATGTCTCTGCTCAATCCGTGCCACAGCTTCACTGGCTCCTGTGGGGTGTTGATCATGTCCATCCAGTGCTGCAGCTGAGGGCCTCTGGTGTACATGAAGGGCCCTAACACCAGCACTCCCAGTAGGACTGGAGGCTCTGGGAGAAAGATATATGAATAACACTGTCAGTGTTTTGGATCTTATCTGCAGCAATATTAGGGGGGCACCGCCTAAGATGAACACATATTATTTAGAGAACTCTATTTTAGAGAACTCAGCTTTCTTCGTCACCTTTCTCAGCGTTGCCACCGTGCTGGTTTCAGGAGGCTCTGTATTTCAGGGTTCACTTAGCCACAGAGTCATGATGTTTTGATTAATTACTCTGACTGGCTTTTTTACTGGTGTGAATCCTGAAACCAGCAAGCTGGAGACACATAATATATAGACATATTGCACATAATATGACTTACCCTGATTAACCTAACCTGAGTGAACTTTCACCTCACCTTACAGCTGTCTTCATCTATGTCTTTCTCCGGTGTGTCTCCATGTTTGTTTCAGGAGGCACCCCACTAAGCCGTGGCCTGTCCCTATCAGCTGTTTACAGCCTAGAATAAACTGTCGGAAAATTTTGTGATCTTCAATCTCTGATTGTGGGGGGAGGATGATATCTCCCCCTTGATGTCCTGGCTCCCCCTTGCCATAGCATTAGTGTTGTACCTCACTATGCAGTTAGCATTAAGGGCCTTGCCTAAGGACCCACAGCTGGAATTCATGCTGAGAGGGCACTGATCCTACCGTACCGAAGTCAGTGGTCTTAACCACTGAGCTATCCACCTACTGTATAGGCCCATATTTAGAACTTTTACTGGTTTCTGCTATTGGTTAGTGGGACCATATCATACTGTGTATGTTAACAGCTCTGTGTGTGTGTTTGACTGTGATCGACAAATTTCCAGCTGTCTGCTCACTTGCTGCTGCACCAGGAGGTTCGCTGTTTGGTCATTGTCGTCAGCATCTGGCTGATGTAAGAGGTCAGGAGGTCATCCATTTTGTAGCCCTGAGGGGTCAAAGGTAAGAAATACTGCACTGAATTGATATTTCTTGAGATGGATAGCTGATTATATACAGCATACACAATATATAATGTAGAATCTAAATGTTTTAACTCATCTGAATTGTCACACTTTTAGTTTGAAAGCTACAGGCAGACACTTCCTGGTTACCCTGACCAGTGTAAACACTGTAAAGTCAGTGGCTCACCAGCAAAGTCTCACACAGGAGTTTGCTGCCTCGGACCAGGTTTCCAATGGTGATGTGGAAGTATGTGTTTCCGCTGCTCCAGTTGGAGATTTTAGTGAAGGGGTGAGTGGTGAGGATGTCCTACAGGAAATACAGGTTAGATGAACACAGAGTCACTGTCAGTAGCAGATACAGAACACACACGTGTACGTACAAGGAGACCCATGTCTGGGGTGCCAGTTAGCAAAGTTTCCTGTTGCAGCTCTAAAGCATTTGGATCATAGGATTTTTAAAAAATGTATTTCAGGAAACACCTTTTTCCCCCAAATGATAATTCTTAGGAACAACCTAATGGACCCACCTTGGACTTGGGATCAATCAAGCTGACTCCATGTTTGTTGACTGCAATCAGGAGGGTTTCTGGAAAGTTTGGATCAGTTGTTTGCTGCAGAAAGAACAAAACAAAACAAATTAAACTTTACACAGTGTAACAGCACTTACATGTTCTTGTTTTAAGTGAGATTAGACAATACAAGTAATTACTGCAGGTGACAAAGAAGAAAGTGGTTGTCTGAAAAAAATGTCAGTTATATTTATTACCAGCTTTTAAATCAAAGATTCTTTACCTTTACTTCAAAGAAGGCAGAACCGAATGTGGCCCACTTGTAAATGATTTTGAGAAAGGAGAGTTTAGCTTCTTCCTGAGTTTTCCCTGAGTGCTTGTCGAATGATGACATGATGCACTGATAGGAAACACACAAAAAAGGGAAGTTGTAAAACACCTCTGAACATTTACTTTGTTTACACACTTCTCCCTGGCATTTAGAAATAATGATTTTACTGAGAATTTTAAAAAAGTGAACATCAGAAGTCAAAATGCCAGTTCTCATTTTTTGTATGAGAGCATCTACCTGTATCTGTATTAGGCGGCCTGTACCTGTAATATGCAAGTTACAAAAAACGTGACCAAATTTTGAGTACTATCTAAGGAGTTAAATCCAATGATGATTTTTTTATTCTACATCTGAGGCCATGAGCTCAGGCAAAAACACATTTCAGAGTCACCAGGTTGTCTGTACAAACTCTGTCATGGAATAATAAACTCAACTGTCTCTTAATTTCCTCTTTGTGTGAGTGTTACTGCCCCCACATCTAAACCTGGTTCCACCCAGTTTCAGCTCACCCTCTTCCAGTCTTCAGGGGCCAGGTGTCGGTCCTGGTCCTGAGGGATGAGCTCCTTCAGGATCTTGGAAAAGCTGTGAAAGTGGGATTTATCCTCCCCAAACCTCACCCTGTAGATCAGCGCTGCCAACTGGTGCACCTCCTCCCTCGAACACTTGTGATAGCCTCGTAGGTACTTAGGCAGCTCCTATAGAGAGAAACAGTTGTTCAGATGCTGCATGTCTGTATGTGTGAAATGTTCAGTAGATTCAGCCATTTTAATTGCTTTAAGAAAACATTCTCAGGTGGTCCCTCCTGTACTCACTGTGTCCCTAAACCTACACAGACCCTCTGAGTTGTGTGTCCAAATACATTTCGTACACCTTGTGTAACTTTGGACATTCAATTCAGAAAGAGGTTTTAAAGGTGTCCATGGACAGAATATGTTTAACAAATAACTGAATACGCGCTGCTGTAAGAGAGGTAAGCAAAAACATGATATAAACTGTATTGTGTCAAGTGCAATTTTTTTTCTTTAAGTAAGATAAAATGTTAAGACTCAGTGTAGCCACACACCTGGTAGTAGTGGAAGATGGAGTCAGCCATGGAATCTTTTCCTGGCACAGTATTAGTCCAGAGCTTCTTCATGAAAAACACCTGATAGGTCAGTGATGGCACTCCACCTGCAAATCAAAAACAGAGATGACAAGATAAAACTATTAGTAGCTTGAACCGATGAGAAAATACATGAAATCTAAAGACAAGCTAATCTTTTTACCGTCTTTTACATGTCTGGCCTTTTTGATCCAGTCGGTCAGGTGCCGCACAAAGTCAAAGAAGAAGTCACCATCAGGGACACTGATAACCTGGAAAACCAATGACAGACCAATAATCTCTATGAGCATTTGATGGTTGTGATGTGAAAGAATTCATGTCCAAAATGTGCTCAGTGGTATCAATGTGTAGCCTCAGGCTCTGCAGACCTGCAGTAACAAAAACTATATAAGAGAAGTCTGAAATTATCTGAAGAATGGAAATTTGAACTACTGCAATTCCATGATGATGGCTAAAGACAGTGTGATGAAAAAGAAAAGCTCTGGAACAGCTACTAAATTGACCTTGTTTGTGCTGTGCTTTCTACTGAAGAAAACCACCAAACTCCTGCAGTAACTCAACAGTGAAGCAGGGTGGCACAGTGCAGTGGTTAGCACTATCGCCTCCCAGACAGAGGGTTCTGGATTCAAACATTACAGCTACCTGGTTAGCTTAAAGGGTAACCTAAAATGTTTGCACAGGATAAACAGCCCACAGTTTCTCTTCACCTTGTCAGTGATCTTGACAAAAAGACTAAAGCCCTCAGATGATTTGAGCATAAGACGTCCAGAGATGTTGTGGCAGAAGTCCTTGGCTTTGGTGCTCGACTCCACTTCAAACACCTGTGAATACCAGCAGCTTAAATATTAAATACTGCTCATATACACTTCATTCATTACAGATACCAGGCCACACAAAACAAACCCAAAACAAACAATCTTGTGCTCCAGGTTATGTTCAGCATTACCTACTGTATCATTCAACCAGCTTGCTGTGTGTGTGTATCTCAAAAACTTATCAGTACGATGATGCAGGTTATTAAAATTACTAACTTAACCTATTCAATCTTGTCTGCAAGTGTATGTTTTTTTATTTATTTTTATTTACCTCGTCCGAGTCATCTGGAAAGTAAACTTTATGGAAGATCTGAGTGGTTTTGTGCTGGATAGCCTCCACCTCCACCAAATGAGGAGGGTACTTTCTCGATCCATTTCTACCACAAACAAAAGAGGAGAGGTGAAATTGATATTAACTGAACTGAAGAAAATAAAACACATAAAGTATATGTGTGTGTGTTACCGCAAGGCTTTCTGCAGCCGCTGCATGCAGTCTGGAGCCAGTGAATAGTGTTTCCTTGCCTGGAGGAACTTCTGGACATGAGGCAGCAGGATGTTACTGGGAGGAAACAAACCAGTGCAGAGCCACAGCAACTCCCAACCCTTCTCCTCACTGTACCTACACACACACACACACACATATGCAAAGTAATGATGATTAATGATCCAACAAGTCAATCACTGTGTACTAATGCACATTTTTCTGTAGTTTTTAACTGTTTACTGCTGTTTGGTCTAAGCCTGGTTTGGCACTGTGGGCCACATCTGACAAAGCCGAGACAACTGCACTGATGTTGTAATCAAGTCTCCTGCATTTGTTTACCCATGGGGGTACAAACAACTATTGACAGATTACTTTGGTACACAAGAAGACTTGATAATTTAAGAAGTAATTTCTAGTAGTGGATTTATCAATGTTTCGCTGCGAGACAGCTCTCGCCCTGTATTAGCCCCCACGCAAATCTCCACAGGAGAAGGGGTATAAATAATAGAATAGCTCAGTTGTGAGCAACACTGGTGAGAGTAAGTCTAAATCTAGAAATACATGTATGTATATATTGTCTGGAACCTGTCCCTTCACCTCAGGGAACATTTTTACCCGTCTTGCACAGTAAAATCTAATCTAATATTTTAGACAGTATTATGCTTCAGGCTCTTTGTCAACAGCTTGTTTTTGTTTCCCCTCAAAACACTTGTCTTGTCTTGAACTCAATCCAACAACTAGGGAGTGGACTGAAACGCCGACTCTGAGCCAGGCCTTATCACTCAATATCAGTGTCGGACCTCCAGAAGAGCTGAGGTTGTTAAAGCAGCACATTCATGTCTGTGGTTTTACATTCAGCCGCCACATACAGTACAGTATTGTTGTAATGTGTACATTTTGCCATTTAGTGCTCCTCCTGCATCAGCTTTTGCTTCCATAGTGTGTTCCTAAGAATGTATGAAAAATGCACTTTGCATTTACTGGATGTCTAATAAAAAAAAAACAACAGTCCCTCTTTGAAATGTGTGTCTGTGTTTCAGACTTACTTGATGTGATTATTGGTTAGCTGCTTGAGAATTTGACAGAAGATCTCATCTTTGAGCGGTTCGACCTTCAGAGCTCCTTCAAAGATGTGATCGGTGAGTTCGCTGACAGAGTGCATACGTTTAGAGGGGTAGTCACCCATATACTTCATCACAGGTACAGGCTTGATTAAGGACATCAGTCATTAATATAAAAATAGGTGGATTCTTTGACTTGGGAACAGAATATCAGTTGAGAGGTAGAGAAATATGATTATTTGGCAGTAATTTACAACAATAAATAAAACACTTGTTACACACTGTAAACAAGAATAGATTAAATCTAATTAAAAGTGGCAGAACTGGGAGATAATTGTCATTATGGGACCAATATGTGGAGCTGAAAGAGCAGATTTACTGATTATTTTATAAAATTTAGGACTTATTGTATGACAACAAATATCCATTGATGCATGCAATTAACACACAGCAGTATTGACACACCTCCAGTAAAGGATATCTACGAAGGCCAAGCAGGCCTCCTGGGAGAGCTTCTCATATGCCAGGACCTTCTTCAGCAAAGGCTGTTTGAGAGGCTCCCTAGTGCAGCTCCACAGATGCTCCTTCCCTCGGGCTTTTGAGATCATCACCCTGCTCAGAGTGCTCCTTGGAGGAGGCCTGGACACATGCAGGAGAGATTAGCAGAAATCACAAAACACTCAAATTCCACACAGTATTCTTGCATAAGTCAGTCATATTAGACACTTTCACTATTATTTTACAGGGCCAGTATCTAAATGTTGAAGTATCATCAGGGACATCCTTTGGGCACAGGTGAGCTAAGTGGTCACCTAGGCTGCCACCAGCTGGACCTGTCCTAGTGTGTGTACACGTGACAAACCCAATAGTGACCCAATCATACCCAATCCTGCTTCATAGCACTGTCAGCAAACAATAACTCCATAAGTTCCCTTTCATTTCAGACAGCAAACTGTCACTAGTGTCCAGGTCAGATGCTGGCTGTCATATCATTACCTGAAACTACTGCCTGCAGCTGTGCAACCAGGCATCTGTTTACTCATACCATTGTGTCAGTCTTAACAATCTTGGTTACTTATGCTTCATGCAAACGTCACATTATAATCCTGACTCATAACTGGGATGTACAATAGCCATGTTTATCAGGGAGTTGGTTAGTTCAATAAAATGTAGCCTGTAATGATTAAACACAGAAATTAGAATGAAAATAAGGACCTTTATCCTGTGGATCAACTTGGGACCAACAAATCCAGGCATTCTGTTGAATAGTTATTGGCTGTGAAAGATGTCCCCCTGTGCTCCATTAACCTCTGATCACACAGTGCTATGAGCAACTGGCCCTCTGAGCCATAAACTGTATGACAACTGCAGCCAGTTGTTTCTGTTAATTACAGTATATGACAGCAAGCAAAGCAATGGCTTGGCACTGGTTTCAGTGACAGACTGCAGATGAACAACATCTCCAAGCTACTGCTATTGGTTAAACTGTTCAGTATGTTGTTAATGCTGAGGTTAAATCTTGTCCAGACATTCCTGTGACAGATTCAAACAGACATCCTTTATTAGTTTGGTACTGAACACTGTACAAAATATTATTGGAATCAAGCATCTTATCTCATTGCAAAGTTGTAACACATCTAAACAGTTAATGTTAATGCAATGCTTTTTTGGCCTGGAGCACTGAAATGTCCAAAAATGGCCCTGAGTCTAACTGCACTTTGAAATATGGAGGAGGATACTGAATCTAAATGATGTTTGCATGACGTTATGTGAAAGATTAGGAAACACACCTGAAATAGTCATAGGAGAACTCCTCCAGTGTGTAGGCCTTTGCTTTGTCCTCATTGTCAGGAGGGTTCATCTGAGACAAACTGATGGATTCTCGTCTCTGATCAGGAGTCACCGTCACCAGAGCCTGAGACCGAGGAAGTGAAGGAGTGAAGAGGAAGATTTGAGCTGGGAGATGTCTATTAGATTACGATCATAGTACTAGCAGAGGTAAAAATCTTATAGTAGATATAATAAAAAAAAAATAGAGGGCTGCTTTAACAATGATTAATGCAGTGTGAGTCTTTTAAAAGGAAGACAAGACAATGGATACTGGACAGTTACAAAGGAACACAGGGAGGCACTGCTTTGCTGCACTTCCAGCGATTGCACGGCTGTTGCCTATGAAACAGTTACAGAATATATTTCTCTATAAATAAACTTTTATTCTTGTCTTCTCATCTATGATCTTCTCACCTCTACTCTCAGAGAGGAAACAATTAGGTGCATTTCTAAAAATGTTCAACTGTTCCTCCAGTGGTCCTAATTTGCATCATCAAATGGAAATAAGTGCACCGATAATCTTATTTTTTCATTTGTAGTTTCCTGAAAATGAAACTGATTATTATTTATTGCATGCAGAATTTTGGATACTTTTTTGAACAGCTTGGTGTTCTGATGTAAATGTGAAAGATTGAAAACATACACATATCTGACAGGGTGTCAGCAGTCCTTGAAAGGTCTTAAATAAATTATTATTATTAATTCAATTTAAGGTCATAAAATGTATTTTTGATTATTATAAGATAGTATTAAAAACCGTCATGTATCATGAATATAAAATCAGTTCTTTGGTCTTGGCTGAGTCTAGACGTGTGCTCATTTTATAGCCTTCCATATGGTTGGCTTGGTTCTGCCCAGGCTGCCACCTGCTCTCACCACTTTTCCTGAAGGTTACAGGATTCAGGAGGCACTGTTAATAAATAATGTTAATGATGTTGAGCTAAAGAGAGATGCTCTAGTACTCAGGGAAGTCTTATTATCTCAGTAACATTAGCTAGAATCTGGATGGTACCGTCTCGTGCGGAGCCACTATGGCCGACGTCCGACTTGTCTACAGCGGCAGACTGCTGAAAAATTAATGTGATGATATTCTATTGATTTTGAACTTCTACATTTATGTAGGCTTTGAAACTAGGACTGACCAATAATCTATAGACTACAGTTGGGTGCTCATCACTGTGGCCTCACTCACCACTAGGTCATACTGTGGTCTGGTGATGGTGGGCAGCACATAGACGGAATCAGCAGGGAAATCTCCTCTCTGTCCGGTCCTGTCGTTGATGCCATGGGCCCAGCCGGAGTTCATCACATGCTCTCCGTTGTGTTCATCCAGGATGATCAGATCCCCTTTTGAGAAACGCAGAAATGTGGAATCTACCCCCACTGTGAGACAGAGGACACATATAGAGATAATGCTTTAAAATATACATCAAGTTTATGGCTTAGCATATTAAAAATACATCTACAGTAGCAGCAACTCCACCATCAATCTCCCAAAAGGGAGATTCCACTAAATACCAAAAATATGTCAATACATGCTTTCTCTTCAAACAGTCAGCAAATCTTACCAGGGCCAGGACAGTCCAGCAGCCCCACCACATACTTGGACCTCTTCCTCAGACCCTCGAGGAAGGCGACCACCAGATCACGGATGTCCTCTGCATTGTTGGAGGTGAACGTGTACTCGTCTCCCTTGATGGTGGCTAAGGTAAAGCTCTGACCCTGGTGTTTACCTCCTCTGGAAAATGCAAATGACTTCATTAAAAAAATCATCCTGTTAAAATTAAAAACGTAATAATCTCTAATTGGGCCTTAATACACTTTTTAAAAAGAATACCTCAAACTTTCAAGTTGACAGTTACCAAAATCAAGTTCCAGGAACATGAGGGGGGAGAGGGTGGCTGTGTGCATGCTGCTTTTTAGTTAAACACCGGTGTCTTCACACCACAGGCACAATGTGTGAACACACAGTGGTTTACATGTAAAACTAGGACTTAATGCGTTAGGTTAGGGATAAAATGGGGCCTTCAGTGCGTGGAAGTTTGTGTTCTGTTTGTTCAATAGCTGATAAACTGCTCATACAGTCTCAGTTACTGGTTGATTCTTGGAGTGTGGAGTGATCCTTCATGTTCTCTCCCTCTGTTCAGCTGTGAGTGTGAGTGTGTGTGAGGACCATAGCCCCACCCTGTTCTAAACAGACACCAACACAGGGAAAAATACAGTGGAAAAACAAAACAGGACGGTCCGCGTCAACCCGATGACGATTAAGGGAAGCACAGGGTGGACTTCTCGGTATGTTACAACAGTGGAAAACGCAGCTAGGATCTGTGTTGCTTCAAAGAGTTACCATACTGTACCTGCTACTGGACACAGCAGTGATCTCGGGGAAGGAGAGCTCCAGAAGGACCTGCTCCTGTTCGTCCACAAAGTAGACACCAGTCCAGTTCACTGCCACAATCACGTCGTTCTTGGGCAGACTGGGTCCTGTGGACAGACGGTATGATAGCCGTTTTAAAACCCACTGAGATAGGGAATGTGTAGACTAGCATGTTACTGACCTGAGAATTTGAAGGCCTCATAGAAGCGTGAGAAGAGTAAAGGCCACTTTAAACGAGCAAAATCCACCACATCCTCCTTCACTTTCTCTGCGTTCAGCCTCCTCTTTGTGTGTAATTCCTGCAGAGTCCGTTGTAGTTAGTTACTGTCGCACAATACTGCAGCATGTTGTTCAGAAAGTTTAAAAAAAGTGTCTGTTTTGATGATCACTGTGGCACATACTTTTTTGTGCACACTAATGATGAGCTGAGCCCACTTCTCTGCATTCTTATTAGAGGTGATTTCCCTGTCGGGGATGTAGGAGGGGATGAGGCTGAGCAGGCGATCCTGGAGCATCTCAGAGCCATAATCCACATAGTACTGCTGAGAGGCCAGTTCTGCTAGGTCCTCTTCCTTCAAGGAAACAAGCACAGCGGATTAACAACATTTTTTTTAGAGACTTTTGCAGAAGTGGTTCAGTTGCAGACCTTATCGTATCAGAAAAGAACAAGACTGACTAAAGGATACTCTTGTTCTTGGTGCAGTGCAGTTTCAAACCTACAGTGAATCTGACCCAAATTTAGAGCTAATTCATTTAGATTCTGGTTGACATCACTCAGTCTTTATGAAAATGTATACAATCCCTGACTTGGGATTCACAAGTTCATACCCTATAGCAATCCTGGACTCTACTATTTATGGTGAGTACTGCTAATATTATACCTGCTAAAGATCAGCATTTTAGTATACTGATGTTTACGTTTAGCTCAAAGCTAAAGACAGCCATAAAGACTTGACTACAGTATGGGAATTTCAATTTCAAAATCATTCTCACTGTTTGAAGGAGTCGATAATATTTATTAGGAAAAACACACAGACCTGATGCACCTCTCCTAAAGTCTAGTGTGTAAACAAAAATCAAAACTGCGTTGAAAGCAACTGTATATGAAAAAAAAACAAATCTAATACTGACCCTCTCACAGCGATACTCTCCGAACTTCACCCCTCGGACAATCTGCTGGTAAATGAGGTTTGTGGAGACACAGTCCTCAGCAGGGTTGTGCCATGGGGTGAAGATCTCTTTCCTAAAAAACAGTCTCCAGGGGGCATTCCTCTCCTGGGCACCCTGCTCCTTCGCATACTGCTCACACTGGGAGACGGCGTCCATGATGTGGTCGCTGCCGCTGCCCAAAGATGACACCTGGCAAAAGCAGTTTCACAAAGCGCTCATGAGCCAGCCTATGTATGAAGTGACTGTTAATGTATATCTTGTTGTAACATTTTGATATTACAGAGTAATACAGAAATGCAAAATGACTACAAAACACCAGGAAAGGACAAAGAAATTAACATGATTACAAATGATGCAAAATGGCTACACAGAAAGTTGCATTGTTTGTAGCTGTTCCATGTTTCTTTCAGTCTGGATGTACATAGGAGCAGTGGGGCGGGGGATTTTACATGTCTATGTCCTGGGGCCTGTTCTCTCATAATAATCCCATAGTGCTGGTTATACCTTGTCAAACAGGGCGATGTACAGTGAGAAGCCAAAACGATCTCTCAGGTTGATCTTGTCAGCCAGAGCATTGCACAGCTCACTGGCAGTGGTAGCTGAATCAGCCAGGAGGGTCTTGGTGGTGCCATCCATAAATGTCACTGGTAGCATGATGGGCTTCTTAGATTTAGTGGCCTGAGGGGCAAAAATTATATCATTTGTTTTTTTGATAACTTCTACAGTCTACAATTAGACACAAACACATAAAAAAAAATTTGGGAAATGCAATTCATTGCTTTCTATGACTTCTCAAGACCTGAGGATCCCCTGACCAAAGTGAGCAGACAACACAAAGACAGAGTAAGCAGCATGTTCAGTACCTGAAGTTCCAACCAAGATGGCGGCTGAGTTCGTGTGCGATTGACAAATGTCCTCCTCAACCTTTCCTCACAATATGGAGCATAACCAGGTGGACCATTGTTCAGAAATGTCCGTAAATACTAGAAACAAAGGAAAATAAGGCTAAAGAAAATCTTTAAATCACCAATCTTGAGTAAAATAAAGGCCCGGTGCTAGCTCAGAATGCCTGGTGTTAATGCTGGAGGCAAAGAGCTGAGTGATTTCAGTCACTGATCTGTTCTGTCTGCACCCTCTTTGGTACAAGGCACAAGGATGTCTTGTCATGTCTTCTGTTCAGTCTGCTCTGATTTCTTAATTTGCAACAAAAATGACTTGATTATGGATCAGTGAAGTATAGACAAGGGAAAAGAACTATAGTCAGTAAAGCAGCATCTCGTTTGCAGTAATCAACAAAGATCACCTAATTCTTTGAATACGACATCTTAATAAAATGTTTTTGATTGGTTTCAATGAAATTTTCAACATTTTAATATCTTTGCTGTCCCCTTCAGAGTGTATTTAATCTTAAGTTACAAATATATGTGGGAAAAAAATACAACAGCTGAGTAAATATTGACTAATTAGAAAGTCAAAAATGAACTGCAGTATTTATATTTGGTGGCATTCCTATCAAAAGTGAGCAAATGATTTCTTACCTTAACAAACTTTTCGGACGGGGCGAAGCAGCCCACGCAGAGAGACAACAGGATCCATCCTCGGGCATGGCTGCTCTTGAATGGATTCTGAGTGAGCTGCTTGCAGATCTGGCAATAGATCTCGTCCCTGAGACAGAGAACAGCAGCTGCAACAAAATCTGGACTTGTACTTATCAAAGAAGAAACTTCATCCTACCTTCAGTGTACCAGTAATGTTTAAACTTAGGTGATCACATGATTCCAACCCCCCTGCGACCCTGTTCAGGATAAACGGTATAGATAATGGATGAATGGATGATCGCATGTTAATCTGACACAAGGATAAACCTGGCATACTGTTCATACCCATACCTTATGCTTAATTTGGATACAAGTCAGTTCATAGGACAAATCTTTCTGAATATAGCAGCACCATGGCCTACCCTCACATTTGTAACTGCACTACTATCAAAAACATCAATACATAAAACACAATCATAAAGCTGGATGTAAACAACAGTGCAGCTTCATGGCGTTAATAGCAGGGCTTTAGATCATGAAGGTGCAACGGGTTAGCAGACTGTAAACAAAGCAGAGTGCTCACACGGAGATCTCCCGCATGTGCATTTGGCTTTTACTTACTTCAGATTTACAGTAGCAAGTAACAAAGACATTAAAGGAAGTTACACTAAAGCTGTCTGTACTGTAGGTCACCTTAGGGCAGGCCGCAAGATGCCATTGCCAATGATGAAGTGAAGTTTCTCTAGGTTGGAGGTGGGCCGGTCCTCCAGCATGCTGTTCCCCTGGAGGCTCACGTCTCCTTCTGTCAGCCGCTTGGTCACCTGCCACAGATAAAAGAAAAACACCGCTCAATGAACATTTTAATTGAATTTGTCTACTCAAAAAATGATCACCCTGTCCATTAAAGCTATGTAACTTTTTTCAAACATTTTTATTGTAGAAATATGTTTCAAAACTTGTCTTAATGTGGAGAACAAACGAATATCTGAATAGTCAGATACTTGGGTCGAGCCCTACTTAAGCTACATACTGTAGCTTTAACATGCTCCTCTGCTTACACTGAGAAATTAGCCAGTGCCATCCACATCTGTAATGATGGGTGCAGAATTACAGAGTTTTTAGGGACTGGGTCAATTCTAAACAGATTGTCAATTACAACTTTTCCACCACAGGAACTCTCTCAATAGGCAAAAAATCTTTAGAGGAATTTCACCTGCATTTCAAACAAAGGAACACTGGACTAAAATTTAGTTCCTCTACCTGGTAAAAAAAAAAGCCTGCTTTGGGGTTAGGACTTTCCAAGAGTTCCAAAATTATCAGGGCAAAGTTTGCAAGCTTGAACATCTGCATTGTTGCTGCTTTGTTTATTGCTTTATGTCTAGATCTAGCCTGGCCACAGACCTTCAGTCTCTACTGTGCTATCAAATAAAGACGACAAAGCCCAAAAATATCTTACAACACTTCTTGCTGGGTTGAGTCTCACCTCCTCAGTGATCTTGGATTTCCTCTTCAAGGTGAGAGACACAAGTTTATGCCTGACGCTGTTCCTCTTTTGGCTGTCTACAGAGCTGTTCTGTAACACAAACATGGGAAAACAATGACATTTTGACCAAAGTGACTATCGCTACAGTTCGGCTACATTTACATTACAGGTCTTAATGCTCAATTTCACTTTTTTTGTCAGATCCAAACTTGGTGTGTTGATAGTTCACATTTATGTTTGTGATATGTATCAAGGTCCATGTGTGAACATCGCCAAAGTCCTAAACTGTCACACATATACACATTTAACTAAAATATGAGTCACGTGGGTGACGGTCATGTCTCACAGTTTCCTCAGAAACTGCTATGATATGTTCCTTCCAGTTTAGCTTGGTCAGAGATTTCTCCATAAATGTCTAACTAATGTGGAACATCTTTGTCTCTCCACTGGTGCCGGGCGCGGTTGTAGCCTTTTTCCATTTTTATTTTTACCCACCTGTGAGGGGCCAGCACTGAATGATGATAACAGGAGTGAATTCCAATCGGACCTTTCTTATGAATCAGATCTACATCCATATATGGAAATGATGCAGATCAGATTTGAAAGAATCGTCAGCAGATAATGTGAACACAGCCAAAATCCTCAACAGTCAATTGAAACAGCATCTTTCTGTCCTCTCACCTCTCCTTCCACCTGCAGCTCCTGCATCTCCTTCTTGTAGGTCCTTTTGCCAAGCGTTTCATAAATCTTGGTCATAACAGGAACCTTTTCGCTGCCATCATTAATGACCAGCTGGCATTTGGGCTCAGGGAAGTCTCCCATGAACCTTAGCACTGTGATCCACACAGCTAATGCAGCCTGGGAGACAGAGCAGCACATTAATATCAGCAGCAAGTTGAGGAATAAATGTGCTTCATTTAATGACTAGTCACATACATCATGTTTTGTCAGCATGCATACTTATTGGTGCTTTGGTAATTTTGTTGAATTCAATCAGCTAGTTTGGCTCTGTCCAAAGGTTAAACAAATCTGCCAACTAACCGCTCTAATGTATACTGATTAAACAAATGAGAAATTATGTGTTAACTTGTGATCTTTAGATTTGTTTTGTTAAACTTTGGACATAGTCATGCTAGCTATGTCCCCTTGCTTTCAGTGCGAACCTAAACTAACCATCTCCTGGCTTCAGTATAATAACATACAGAAATGAGCATGGTATCAGTCTGCTCATCAAATCCTATAGCAAGAAAATATATAAATATCTAAAACATCTATCACATAATGTGAAGAACTAAATGAACAGCTGGGAGAGGGAGAGGCCTTTAGGATTGAGGTCAAAGTTCAGTCTCACCAGCTGATCTCCCTCATCCTCATGAAAAAGCAGAGGTTGTTTCAGTGGTCGTCTGATGAAGGTGTGTGTGGAAACACCCTGAAAATAGGTGGCTGCAAACTTGGAGAACTTGTACTCGGACAAATCCTCTTCTTCCTCGTCAGGTAACGGCCGAGCTTCATTCAACACCTCTTCTTCGGCTTCTGCACCACAAAGAGTGTTCTCCAAGTCCTGAGTAGTAGGAGATGCATCAATATAATATCCAGTTATGAAGAGACAGAAACAGCAGACAGCCAAAGTTAGTAACTAGCTGATGAAAACAAGTTAAAGTGGTTGCAGAGTTCTTCCAGCCACAAGTGACCAAAAACAACTACTGCTGTGTCCCAAGGCCACACCACAAGCTAACGGTCATAGTGCTGTATAATAAGTGTGTTGTATGGATGTAGAACAGGAGCTCTGAGATTATTCGTGCTCCGTCTAAATAAAACACTCATGCAGTCCATCCAGTAGATGTTGAAATATTTCAGTCTGAACCTGAACTGGTGGATTGAGACATTGCCATACCTATAACAAAAAACTCTAGCATAGATCAAAATGAATTCAAATTAAATCAGTACAAAATAATGGGTACTCAAACTTTTCATTTTTATTGGGCTATAAAAACCATGGATACATACTTCAAACCCAGCTGGTGCTCGACCGTCCTTGTTGGGTAACGGCCCAGAGTTCCCTAGGAAACCAAACATGTGGTCGACTATGTCTGAGTGGTCCATGGGCTGCTTCTTCTCCCTCTCCATCTGCTCCAGCATCTCCTTCTTCTTTCTAGCTTCCTCCTTCTTCTTCCTCTCCCTCTCTTCCTGCTGCTGGGCCAGCTGTATAAGCCGCTCCTGGTGTTTCTGCTCGGCCTCTGCCTTGGCCTGCCAAGCCGACATCTGGTTTCGCAGCTGTTCCTCCTCGGCCAGGCGCTGGCGCTCAGCTTCTAGGCGATGCTGCAGCTGTGAGGGGAGGGGAAAGAGGAACAGAGGTTTCATAGAGGCAGGTGGGGTGTACTGATGAACGTTTACTGATTTGTCTTGTTATGTTTTTGATTACTTGTCTGTTTAAAACTAGAGCAGACAAACTGCAGGGAAGCACTGGAGAAAAACATCATTATAATTCTAAAAAATTATTCTAAGAAATACATGACCAGACACCATTAATCAAAGTATGGGTTAAAGTTGAGCACAATATTAAGTACTTTTACCTACTTTTACAAGGGCACACAGTAAATGCTACAGCAGAATAAATCTAAACTGCCACACACTATCAGGAGAGTCACCAATAAAAATTGCACAAAAGTCAAAGTTTTAAAGACAACAAAAATAAATGTACAACATTAACAACATGTAACAGCAACTGTCTGTGGTCTGGACTTCAGCTGCTCTATCTCCAGCTCACCAACTCGACTTCTTCATTGTCAGGTCACTGGAACTGCAGACTTGATCAGGAATTTATTTCATAGTTCTCAGAAAGCCATTTAAAAACTGATCAATTTAATAACAAAGTGAGATTAATCAACCATTCACCAAACAAATAATTTATTAAAAATCATCTTTCAGAACAGGGAAAAAGAAAGAAATGTGCAACAATGCCAGGATAAAAAAAGACATTCTTAAACGCTTACAGTACACACATTTCCAAAAAACAACAGATAGAAAACTAGGTTCAAAACAAAATTTCATAAATATATAAAATAAGGTTTTATGGTGACAAATTTTAGACCTTGATTTTATATACTTCCAATGCCCTCTCTATTAAATAAGAAATGAATTAGATAACTAGTTAGATTATGTAAAATATATAAATGAAACAATAAAAAGTAAAACTCATTCTAAAAGCCCAACATGTAGAAAACTTGAAATATAGTCTTTTTAAAATCTACTGGTTGATATGAGTTATATTGGAGGGGTTTGTGACATGGTAGCAGACATACAAAATTAAAGGAACACTTGATCATCACAGTATAAAATATGAAAATAGAAATGTTTATGGATAAATGGGCACCACTTGTACAGGCTTTCTCCTCTGTGTTTCTGAGTTGTCTTGTTATATGTTAGATTACATGGACATGCTGTATGTATTAAGGCTTCACAGTTTCTTTCAGTCAGATAAAATATGCAACATCATTTTTTTCTGTGTTTACCCTCAACACCAGTATCCCTCTCTTTCTGGCATGTCAACAACATGATTTAAATAGCAGTAGTAAATAGAGTAACTCTTTACCTCTGCCCTGAGCCTCTGACAGAGGCGTCTTGCTATCATGCCCCTGGTGTAGGCCTGGATGGTCAACACGGCACGGAGATGTTGGCAAAATGTCTGCCGTATGAGGAAGCCGCGGCAATGGGCTTGGATGAAGATAACACAACGGCGAGTCATCCGGTAGCTTCTGTAGTACCTTCTTGCCCTGTAGACTGCTTGGAGACGCAAGAAGCCAGACTGCATCTGAGGGAGAGAAATGGGTGAGGTATAAATTGCGTGGCGCCGAGGGCTGCATAATTATGGCTAAAATCATAATCACAATTATTTTGGTCAACACTGAGGTCACAATTATTTAAAGCTATATTTGTAGTGTTAATTTTGACAGCCTTTCAACAGAAATGCATATTAGTTTTGGTCAAATTTTAGCCTGTTTCATATGGTGTGTGGCTACATTTTCCTAGTGTGTCCCAACGGTTTTTGTGTGTAATTCTCTGGATTGTATATGAATATGATTCATAAACCTGTTTCTTCCAAGAAGCACTAAAGACAGAGACAGAACCTCACTGAATGCAAGACGGTAGTAAAATTCATAGCTCATAAGAGCAAGTGATGTCAGTGGGATAAAATAGTGTGACTGAGAAGTTGGAAGCAAGTAGCCACTGAAGTGTTGATGAAAAAAAAAAAACTACAAAGGTGTAAAAGACTCACAATATTGTAATTCTTCCTGCATTGATAACCTCTCCAAACCTTCTGGATTAAAGTCACAGCACTCCTCAGTTTAAGGAAGTGAACCCTAAGAAGAATGATGAACAGGGAGAAATTAGGTGTATAAATAAAATAAATACACACATAAATTTATAGCATGATTTTAAAAAAGCTTCCAAAACAAAGACTTCCATGAAGCGCTGCCCATGAAAGTTCCTGACCTCTCTTTATGTCCCCGCACAGCCTTCTGGATGAGGATGACCTTGTCAGTAATGGCCTTGTCTCTCTCAATCTCCAGCTGCATGTCGTGGTGGTCCTAAAAAAACAAAACAAGCAGCAACACCACAAGTCAAGAAAATAAAGTTGAGATAAGCTATAACTTTCATCGGTCGTACATAACGTCATCAAACGCCAACATGAGGAAAAATCTTTTTTTTTATGTCACATCACAAGTATGATGGACAACCTTGAGGAAAATCTTGGTCTTCCCGATCTGCCAGTCGTCATGTTTCCCCAGCCGGCCCTGGACTATCTGCTGGCAGGTCCCTCGCAGGTCCTCCTGGAAGGAGAGAAACTATGTAAAAACACAACTCCTGGATCAGTAATTTTAACACAAGTCTCATCAGATTCTGTATAACACTGATAGTTTCTGTATTACAGAAAAGTCACATTAAAATAATTTGGCCTTAAACACTGGAGTAGTTACACAGATACAGTATATAAGTAAACAGCATATTATAACCAGCACTTCAGAGTTGAGAAAAAAACATCTCTTTGTAATTATCTGTTGTGTGCAGTGACAGTGCTCCAGAGCTCTGTCATTGCACTGAGACTGCATTTAGTACCATTTCCAGTGGGCCTGAACATGACCGATTAAATCTGACAGCCCATGATAACCCCAGGTATGCTGCACAGAAGCGCTAGGCAGGAAGATAACCTGTTGCTAAGCTAAGATAAGATAAGATAGATGAGCTTTCCCTGACTCCATTTAATACAGACATAAGATATTATTTCCCAAAATGTCAAACTGTTTCTTTAAAAATGGTCAGCTTACCCTAATTACATGTACACAGCAAAATCCTAGACATATTTTCTTCTCTTCCTAGGGACTACTTCTTTAGAAATAAAGATTTCAGTGCTTTCAACTCCACAAATAAAGTTTCTTTCACCACTTCACTTTACTAAGGTGGCAGCAAAAATCTAAGTAAGTTATAAATAAAAAAAAAAGTATTTTTACAGTGTGGGTGAACTTGCCCTTTAATAATGGCATTGGAAGCCTATTCAATCAGGTCTAATTAGGACTACACAATACAACAGAAACAGATCTAACAGATGTCAGTGGCTGAGTGGTTGACCTGTATGTGGGCAGGTTTGACGCCAGGTATGAGGACTCGGTAACGATCCACAAACTCAGCAAACGTGTATCTGATGGGATAACCGGCTCGCCGGATCCGGATCGTCTCCATCATGCCGGAATAACGCAGCTGACGAATACACAGCTCTCTGTCAAACAACTGAGAAAACACAGAAGAAATCAACACACGACAGTGAAACTAAAAATCAAAACACTGGACTTAATGGTAAAATTTTATGAAATCCTGTAAAAGTAGCTTTGAGTATCCAGTTCTTTAAAGACTCTGTTACACATGGTAACATTAAGAAAGCTTCAGGCTAGGTCACGGCAAGGGAACATGCAGTAGACACTGGTTAGCTGAGAGAGTATGAGTGTATATAAATTTTAAGGGACACAGTATCAAGGCAAACCTGAACCTGTGCTTAAAACAGTACAAGTCTTGTGTTAAACCAGTGTTGTACTATGCAAGAAACCCAACACACAAGCACAAATTACACCTACCATAGGTTTTTTGAGCTCGTTTGGTTTTATACAGCGAACAAAGAATGGCTGACACACACTGAGAGTCCTCATCAGCATCTCGAGGGAGCGTTTGAACTGGCTGCTCAGAGTGGGAGAGCGCTTCCTTGTCTCGACACTCTGCAAAAACACACACAGTCCTGATAGATTTAGACATATAGTTTTATGGCATGCTGTCATTACTATTCCTCATTGCATCCGTTTCACATCAGTGTCTAGCTTTCATTTCTATGCACAAAACAAGTTCATTGTGAAGGGTTCTCACACTTTCTCTTGTTACTTATTTATTACTAATACTTATTCATTTAATTTAATATCTTAGTGATTGTTCCCATTACATGATAACTGCTTTATATTTCAGTATGAATGATTCAAACCACACTGTTCATTGTTTCACACTATTTGGAACAGGTTTTCAGTCCAAAATGTGGTGATTAAAACCAACTTTAGACATGAGTTTTAGGTACACGATGCAAACACACAGTGTAACAACAAAGGATGTTATTCCCTTGAACAACACAAGACTTTGCCTCCAGATTGCAACCTGCTGAAATAGACGAGGACTGTGTCAAAGAGTTTTATGATTCATTTTTGAGGACTGAGTGTGTCAAAGAGTTTTATGATTCATTTTCATGGACATCATGCTAAACTTCTCCTCTGGTATCTGCTACAAAAAACTGTGTACCTGCAGAATAAAGAAAGCGCTTCAGGAAGGGAGAATGCTGATACATGGAGGTGCATCATGTACTTGGATTGGTGGGTTTTTATTCATTTTAAACGAACACACACAGGGTTCGAGTGACCACATGTTGCTAAAGGCCGTTGATTACCTTGGGGGCAGGTGTGCTGGGCTGCTGATACCCACACAGAAACTGATGTCAGAGGAAATTTATGAAAGACAGAGAAGAGACAGCAGAATGAGAGGAGGACTGTGGCAATAGAAAAAGTCAACACTGTGAGGGGAAATGCTAAAGGGAGGCAAAAATTACCATCATTATCACCTGAAGACAGCAACACCTTAAATGTCACAACAAAAGTAAGAAAAAAAAAAGGAGGCAAAGAGCATTTGTCCACCTTTACAAGTATTCGTGTGCATTGCACGATGAGCAAGATCTAGAGGTGTTATTTGCTGGTCTCACCATGGCCACATCAGCCTGGAAGATCTGTTTGATGAACTTGTTCTTGGACGAGTGAACGAGCTGGATGGTGTCAGTGTGGAGGCTGTCTCGGTTTTTCTCCAAGAACCCTGGAGGATAAAGGATGAAGAGAGAAGAACTGTAAGAATGATTTCACACATTTAATTTGGTCAGCTTGATCTGGACAAAAATCTGGTACTGTTGCCTGTCAGTTCTGCCACCATATTCATGAAGGATCTTATGTTACCACTGTTGCCAAATGGTTCCCAAGAGTTTCCCCTTAAGAGCTATTCAATGATCTGCTGAGGGCAACTTTTCCTGCCTCTTTGCCCACCCTCATTTTCAGGTGTTAGTGTACATAGGAAGAGCACCTGTACATGTACATGTACAGGAACTAAACATTACCATCACTGTTGATTAATCTGGCAATTATTTCAAGTTAGCAATTACTTGTTTGGTCTATAAAAGTTAACTGTCATGACATTTCTTCTGATGTCTTCAGATGGCTTTTTCTAATTAGCAGCCCCAAACCCAAAGATATTCAATTTACACTGTATTGCTCATTTTTTGACTATAGCTGTGTGTTAATAGAAGGCACATTACATGGTTGATGTTCTCCCTGTATTAAAGTCTGTTCAGGTCAGGCTGACTGCATTTTGTATAAGGTCAGCTTTTCATATTGTTGTACTAGGATCCTACATTGAGAGCCAAAATTGCAGTATAATGTAGATCAGCAAAAGAAGGATGAGAAAAACATAAAATAAAGCATGAAATCAAGACAACATGCAACAAATTTGAGACCGATGAAACAAAAAGCACCTCTGATCTCGTAATGCACCACACCAGCGAAATGTTGGATACCAAACTGGGATTCATAGCTGTTTTTAGGAGGGATGTAGTTGGAGTTGAGCTTGTGCTGAGAGTTGAGCTTATACAGCATTGTAGCATCAGTTCCCTGACAAAATACAAAGAACCAGGAGTCATTAATAAAGCAATGCAAAATACAGTGCCCCAGTCTTTTCAAGACATTATTATCCAGGACATTGTCAGCATCATACTGTAAGGCCGGTATGTCAGAAGGAGTTTACACTCTAGAACAAACAAGTTTATCTACGGGGAAGTGTCCTTTAAAACCCACAGCGTTACTTTTGGATTTCCTTATAAAGAACAGAGACTGAGACAGCCTAAATCCACAGAGGAGCTGCAGCAAGTTCTCCAAGATGCCTGGATCAACCCACTGGCCAAGTACCTTGAAAATATTAATCTCACAAAGTTAACCTGTCAAATGTTACTCTCACAGGACAGTGGCCTGTACATGGCAGTGCCGATTTTATCTACAAATTTGAAAGTGGGGTTTAAATAATCATAAGGCTTTAATATGTGTATCAGGAATGTACAGTATCTTTCCCCTAAACTGCTGAATAGGAGGCTAAATTCAGCACGGTCAACAAAATATTAAATCTGATGCCAACAACAGCACAGTGAAAGGAATCAGATCCGTCATGAAGGCAACATCACTGTTAAGTGACTTTCTGGGTTTTCCAACATTGTACCTTAGGGAACTTGCTCTCTTCATCAATGAGGGAGATGATGTTCATGGGTTTGTTGGCTATCATGTCCAGTGCATCCTGGTTGTCTGTGAACTCGATGTGCTGCCAGTTGATGTCTTCCAGGTTGTACTCTTCCTGTTCCAGTTTGAAGACATGGCGAACAAAGAACTGCTGCAGGTTCTCATTGGCAAAGTTGATACATAACTGTTCGAAGCTACAGTGAAAACAAAATCAGAGAAGTTTGACAATACAGACTAGGGTTCAAACAAGTATTATGTTTGATAAATGGATAATCAATAAAACAGACTGGACACTACTTCTAATCAAACAGACAAGCATAAATAACCTATTGACGACGAAGTTCTCAAACCCAAAGATGTCCAGCAACCCGATCGACTTGCGTATGATGTTACTCTCACAGGACGGTGCCCTGTATATGGCAGCATTGATTTTATCCACAATCCAGACAAACAGCCTGCCATAGATCCCCTGTAAGGTCAAGCTCAAAGTTATAAATACAAATCTTCAATCTTTTACATCTAACAACTCTAGTTGGCAAACATTTGCATTTCCTCACAGACAAGAGCCAATATGAAGAGTAAAGTTGGGAACCACAGATTTTAGTGATTTAGTCATAATATACATGTAGAGGTGATTTTTTAAAATTGATTAGCTGATTGACAGAAAAATTAATCTGCAAATATTTTAATAGTTGATCAAGCAAACAAACATTTTATGGACGAAATGATGTATTGCTTAAATGAGAAAACTACCAGAGGATTAATGCCCAATGACAATAACCGTTATAGCTCTAGTTTAAAACCAGGCTAAAAACCAATGTTTAGCCCTTCTCTTTGATAAAGAGTTTCACTTCTTGAATACACTTTAACATCTAAACTTTGACCTGTTTTTAATTAGATTATTTTTAGGTTTAGATGCATATTCTCATTAAGATGTTATATCTTGTCTATGTGTAATTAACTACTTATTTATACCTTTATTTCTGTAATATTTACACGGCATGAACACTCCAGTGTCTTGGTAATTTGTCAAAGGATGGGCTGGAGGGGGTGGGGATGAGAGGATATGGGACTGAAGAGAGACTTCTGCTTTTGGTTGTAAACTAAAACTGAAAAAATGTTAATTTATGACCCAGCTTCACTGTAGAGTTTGGCTAGATAATGCTCTGTTGTAATTGTACTTAGCAGTACTGACACACCCTGGAGTTCACTTCTACATCACTACAGCAAGATGAGAAGTTAAACCACTGGAGGTCAGCAAAAACAAGACTTTCAGCTGTTGTTTAAGCTGTTCCTGAAAAACCGTGAAAGCGTAATTTTCTCAGGCAGTTTCTTACCAAGCGGTGGGGCCTAAGTGTCCTGCTAAAGAAAAGGTTTTATGTGTTTTAAATGTCAGGTTTCTGTATCTGTGGTACCTTGACAAAAGCATCCCTGACATCCAGGCCTTGTTCCACATTGAGAGGTGTAGCAACACTTTCACCACGTGTGATCAGGGTTCTTGTTGTCAAACACACCATCACATCCTTAGGCTCCACCTCCAGTACACAGCAAGCAGCATAAGAAGATTGAAGAAACAAGAATACCAATGATGGACAAAAAAATTATTCACTTTAAAGCAATCTTTTTGTCCTCTTTTCAGACAGAATGCCAAAAACGCTGCATCATCCATCAATGCAGTTATCAGACATATCATTACATGTAATCTAGACATCAGTACAAATATATTAGATTTTAAGCAGATGATTAATATGGCTTCTCATTCACCAGGCAAATGTGCAGACTTGCAATACACAAGGGCATACACTATGCACACAAGCATACACACCTCCATGAGTGAAGCAGCAGTAACCAGGTCAGGAGATCTCACAACCACACAGGCGTCCAGGTTGTCATATGTTCGAGCTGAGGGAAACAAGGTAAGTGTTTTCCTCAGTTTAAAAGTCATGTGACTTCTCTAAGCAGGGTACTGTGCATTTGGTGTGTGGTTTTATTTCTTCCACAGATACAGTATTAGAAACACCATCTTATTATTTAATCCATTACATCACTGCCACTAATTATGGCCTTTATAGTGACAACAAATAATATACTTCTAAAACTGAAACACACAAGCTAAGTGACCGTGCAGTGTGACCTACCCTCAAATCTTAGGTTGCCCATGTGTAGGATGGCAGCCAACAGCTTGGAAATCTCCCAGCTCTCTGTCTCAGTGAACATGAGGACCTTCATGGCCGACAGGATGCTGGAGTAATCACTCAGGTCATCACGACTGTCACACTCTGTACAGTTACCCTGGAAGTTAGAGAGACAGAAATTTAAGATATCGTGTTTATTAGCTAAGCTGGTGGAGAGGTTTGAGGAACAGCAGTGTTAGTCGGCTGGTTGTTGCTACCCTCATAATTTTACTCCTCTGACTTACAGTTCCAAAGTCAGGGGCAATTACTCACTATATAGTGTTGGTAGTGATTTCACCTTTAAATTTAAAAAGCTCTCATTGTTCACATGACATCACTTTTGGCCACAGTTCTAAAAGCCCATGATACACTTCCAGCTGGACGCATCAGTAAGCAAGTTTGCCATATCTACTAAAAGATGATGACATTTTAATGTCATGTTCACAACTTCCATTACCCTTCAAGTAGTAGTGTATTAGCTAATATGTTGTACCATATGTGGTGGATGTTAACAGATTCAGATTCAGATCCCAGTTTTAATAAAAGTTCAGTAACTACTCCATTTATCACTCAATACACAGAGAAACAATATAAATGGTCTCTCTCACAGCTGCTGACTCACCATGGTGAGGTAGGAGTAGTCTGTTGTGAGGCCCAGACCCAGCTTAGCTTTCAGCTCTGGAGCCATACCCCTCAACATACAGTAGAAAACATGATAATTCCTCTCATCTGGAGCCTGGAGGAGAAAAGAGCAGTGTCAATGTTTTTACTTTACATACAAATGTACAGTATATGTATAATATGTAGCTTTTATAAATAGAATTTGTATGTTAATATTACGCTTAAGACTCATGGCAACAGAACCAATACCACCTAAATAAAGAGAGCTATTATATGAACCAAAATGTTCCTCTATTTATATTACACTGCAGGATGTGGACAGTAATTTGAACACCTGTATGTGTTCACGATATCATTATTTCTCCAAAACAGCACCAATGAATTTAGGATGAATGAAACTACTCCATCCAGACAGTACATTCAATATCACATTCTTGAAAATAGGGTCCTAACTACTAAAAAAAAAAATCTAATGTTTTTCTATAGTTTAGAATCTGGCAATTTAACCAAACAAGGCTGAAATGAAAAGACCTGAAGTTATGACTGTGGCAGAGTAGTGTAAACTATGACCCAGTTTCCCACCTGTCGACACACCCGAGACTTCTCCAGGAGGTACTGCTCTATCTTGGCTCCTTCAATGGCCCCTCGCTTGTTGAAGTGGATATCTATATACTTCCCAAAACGACTAGAGTTATCGTTACGAATTGTCTTGGCGTTACCAAAAGCTGTATTGATTGAGGTGAGAGAGAAAAAGCACTAACAGAGCTAGAAATCATGTCAGAGTGGAGTCATTGACAGTACACAGATATACTGATGAAACTGGACTGTATAAAAAGATTGAGGTTACATTACTATGCTGATGTCATGTTTATTTGTAGACAACTACTGCATATAAGAGAGGTACCCTGGAAAAGGAAAACTAATAAAATGTGAACATGTTCAAATACATGCACACTCCTTTTGCTGAGGAAGAGCATTTAATATGATCATAAGCTCAAGAGCAGTGGAACTTAAGATGAAACCTTTTTTCTGAACAACTGTTTCCAAATTCACAAACAAACTCTGAGCCTCAGATTTTAGGACGATTCTATGCAAACTGGCCAAGCTATCTGCTGAAGATCGATTGATACGATCAAGAACTCCAGAACTACTATTCAGTGAACCGTTGGTTCCTTGTCCAATCTGACATCTATTTTCCAGATTTGTAATACGTGCATTTATGAAAACAGAAACCAGAGTATGAGATAATATTTTGTGCAGTGTAAAAATAGAACAGCTCTCTGACCTTCGAGGATGGGCGTGGCCTCCAGGACTTGCTGCTCTATCCAGGAGTGCTGACCACTTATGGCTGCGAGGAACTGCAGAATCAGTTTTGTACTCTCTGTCTTCCCAGCTCCAGATTCACCACTGTTGCACAGAGAGAACAATGCGTGCTCATGCAATACACAAATATGATAACCTACAGTAACTACCAATTGTGCTGGAACTGCAGCACACATAGATATAGATGCATCAGAAAATATCTGGTTATTTGATAAAAAGTTAAAAGATGCCTGTGTCCATAAAAACCTTGAGGTAGCAGTTAACTATGGCTCCCAATAGTATGCTGAATACACCTGGGATATAAAAGAAGCAGGGCAGCCAGTTGTGGTTCTTCACGACTGCTTTAGCAGCTTTCAGAGAAAACTCGAACTTGCAATGAAGATGCAACAATCATTCTCAAACATTTTGAGGACTGGACTCTTGTGTTTGAACTGCTGTGTCAGAATAATCCTCAGCACAATTCCTAGTTGTTCAGGAATACTTTATGTGTGTTACTTTGACCAATATAAATTACATATGCACACACACACACACACACACACCTGATGATGCAGCACTGGTCCTTGTTGTTCCGCTGCATGTTGAAGTAGCAGTTGTCAGCTATTGCAAATATGTGTGGCGGCATCTCGCCGATCTTCTTGTTGGTGTAGAGGCGGATCTGATCTGGAGTGTAGATGGGCAGCAGCTGGTAAGGATTGACAGCTACCAGGATTGAGCCTGTATATGTCTGCAGAACCCAAAAACAGAAATGTGGATGTTCAAGCTCTGAGAAGACAAAGCAGAATGACTGGCCTTTCAAAATGTTCCCTTGTGACTTCTACAACACCTGCTTTGTATAAACCAGCACTATGTTTTTCAAATCTTATTTCTAGAGTTAAACTATAACAGCCATAACATTATGACCACTTACAGGTGAAGTGAATAACACTATCAGTGTATGGGGTATATTAGGCAACAAGCAAACCTTCATTTTATCTTCAGTGAATACAAACTTCTGTAGAAGCCTCTGATACTCAGTCAAAGAGCGAGGTGGGGATGTTCTGTCTTATCTATAGTGGCATGTGAACTCTACTGCAGAGCACTTAGAGTACAACTAAACAGCTTAACCTGACTTTACTGGGCTGTGGCCAATATGGTCACTGCTCAGTAAATAAAAAAACTTGGAAGTCACAGAATCTAAACCTTCTAAGTCCCTATGACACTGTAAATGAAAAGAAACATCTGTGTACTTTTTGCAGATCAGAGCTACAGTGTTGTTAGACAGGATACTAACATAGATGACACATTCATTGTAGCGGATGAGCAGGTTGCGGAGGATGCCGGCTTCATTCAGGTCACCAAGGCGGATCATGTCTTCCACTCCGTGGATGGAGGTTGGGTGCATGGGCTTAATGTTGGTGGCGTTCTGAGGAGAAATCCAGTGCTCCTGTGTGACAGCAGAAATAAGTAAATCAGAGAAGATGTGATTTAAAGTTTTATAATTCAGTTTAAATTCAAGGGTTCTCATAAACTTCCAATGAGATTCTTCCCTGATTCAAACAGTACAGTATCTACAGGGATATATGTAGTGTGTATAGACAATAACAGCACGTTTCTTGTGAACCTACCCGGCCTTCATCATCCACAACCTGGATCTGTCCAGAGTCACACAGTTTAACCACAGCTCCCACAGGAACATCAAACTCTCGGCCTGTTTTAAGGTCCAACCACACATGGTCCCCCTAGATGATAAAACAGCTCAGATTACATATAGCATCAACTTACAATCAACTTTTTCCATTAGAATATAAATGGAATATATGGAACAGTGTTTCTGTTGTGATGATATTCCATGTTTTCTGTTCTGGGCATTTTGGAATGTACTGTAACTTGTTTTTCATGGATGTGTCTTATGAGCATGAAGTGGAATTGAGGTAAGGCAGAGCAAAGCAGTAAGAATACAAACAGCAAAACTAATACTCCTCCCAGACTCACACACAGGATGAACCCATGTTTGTAGTCAATTCATCTCATCTTCAATGAAAACCTGAAGACAGGTTTTTCTAACTATTAGCTATTAGCCTAATGTTAATGACAGTAAAATTAAATTCAGAAGTCAACACCCAATTACGTGGGGACGTCCTCCTGTAGGCTCACCACCTGCAGGAGGATCCGTAAGGGGCCGGTGCATAGTGGATTGGGCAGCAGTCGAAGGCGGGGGCCCCGGCGACCCGATCTCTGGACACGGAGACTAGCCCTGGGGACATGGAATGTCACCTCGCTGGTGGGGAAGGAGCCTGAGCTTGTGCGGGAGGTTGAGAGGTACCGGCTAGATATAGTCGGGCTCACCTCCACGCACAGCTCGGGCTCTGGAACCTTACTCCTTGAGAGAGGCTGGACTCTCTACTACTCTGGAGTTGCCCGCGGTGAGAGGCGGCGGGCTGGTGTGGGCTTGCTCATAGCTCCCCAGCT